GGTGGAAAAGTGTAGCGTGAGAATATTTATTTTGGACCAGAATATAAACTAGCTGTTCCAAGCTCTGTCACATGGTCCAATCACAGAACATTATAGTGAAACCTGCCTATACGTGCTGGTGCTTGCAGTCTCCTGCAGCGAGGGAGAACCGGTCCTGCAGCTCTCTCACATGCTCCACGTCATTTCAGTATATCGCTTTGTCATTGTCTGGGAAGTTTTGTTGAAGCACTGTTGCCATGCACACCAACAGCTGCTGCTTCTTCCAAACAAAGACTTTCCTGGATGTTAGAGGCTGGGATTAAACACAACAATGATTCAGATGGGTCTATTTTAGTCTGTTCCAGCAGAAACTCAGAAACCCAATGCTTTTAGAATAGATAAGTAGATGACATCATGGATATGGGCGATTCTCCAACTATGGACAAATCTGGGTCTGCAATTTTTGGGAAATCTAAATTTGATTTTCAAAAATGACGGTTGACTGTTGTAGTTGCTAGCAAATACGAGTTCAGGCTCATTAATGTACAGTTTGTGATGTGTAATGGAAAATACACCAAACCACTGGCAAGTACTGTTTATAATTAATATTAAATTAAGTAAATTCTGAATGTTCAATGTAATATGAATAATGTGAAAAACGTTTTTACTACATGCCTCTGAATAACATGTTTATGATGGATTGAAAGTGTAAAACTGGATTAATGGACAAGGGTGCTCTAATATAAAACCATTATTCAACACTTTTTATTGATAAAAGTATAATATATACTGCATTTCAGAATTTTTTTCTCACAGCTCATCTTGCAGTGTACTAATTTTGGAAAATAGAAAAAAATCTGAAATGTATTTTCTTTTTGTCAATACAGGACAAGGATTTGTCCATAGCTGAAGAATCACCTAGGGTCTGATGGTCACCTAACCCTCTGCTGATGGTCACCTGATTTATGACGATAATAAAGCGTAATTGTTTCCATCATGTTGTGGTGTGTGCATCTGCATTTCTATAAATAACCAGAAGCAAAAATTAGAGGTGTGACTCACAGACACTGTGTGTGTCTAGACTGAAATCCAAACTCTGACAGGGCTGAAGACCAGAGAGAGACACAGAGACATGACACAGCAATGAGAGACCAGAGAGAAAGATTTAAGAGAAAGAGAGACCAGATTTATCCCAGGGAGAGATGAATTCGCTACCACATCCAAATCTCACACTGAGGTAGGTCACAGTGTCAGAGTGTTGGTCTCCTCTGGCCACAGCTCTCTACTTCCTCTGTCTTTCTCTTGACATTTTCTACTTCCACTCGTCCATAAAGACCAGATCTGTGGAGAGTAGGACTCATATTTGTGCCATGTACAGAGCCCCAGGTGAGTTGTGGAGGTCTCCAGCTCCTCCAGAGGGACCATAGGCCTCTTACCAGCATCTGTGATCAGTGTTGTGATCAGGGTTGTGCAGACAGTTGTGTCTTGGTAGATTTCAGTTTTTGCCTTTTTACTCTTCCCCCAGTGTAATTGAAAAACACAGACAAAGTTTGTATTCGTCTCTTTTATTGACAGTTGCTCATTAAACAATCAGAGGCTGTGATGTGGCTAAAGCTGCCGTGGGATCTGACAGAAGACTGAGCTTCACAAAAGATAATGTTGAGTTATAACAATGCGTTCTAATAAGATGATGATAGAATGTTGTGTTGGGTTTTAATTTTACAAGACTCTTTGTCGGACAAACCACATACAGTATGTTATTTATGAATCCAACCTGTGGAATGTGGAATGTTGTACAGACTGTATAACACAGCTTCATTATCAGCAGAACAGACAGTGGCAGTCCGGATTTAGTTTACTCCAGATTCAGAATCGGTCCCTGGTTCTGGGTTTTAGTCGTGGATTGAAGGGCAGACCTTGAGTAGACCTGATCTAGTCCTGGTTCTGTCCTGAGTTGTAGTTCTTGCTTAGAGCCTGAGGGTAGAAATTTGATGGATTGGTCTTGGCCAGGATCAGCGGTAGAGTCCTGAGATGCTCCAGGCTGGTCTCTGAGATCCATCTGTAATGAGGGGGGGTTTTATTTATTGGAGGCAAAAGGAAATGATTGAGTAGTGGACCGAATTAAAACAGTTATGGCAGAGCAGTGGTGTGACCAAATGAGGACAGAACTGTTAAAAACTAAATAATTTATTACAATAAATTAAAACAGGGTTAAAAAGTCTTTAAAATGTGATGAAAAAGTCCCGAGCGCAGGGGGGCCCTCTTCAGGGAGACCTGTGCACAAAAACAGAGGGCCGGCAGGAACAATCCTCCACGTTTTGATTTAACGAGGGACAACGGGCGGGCACTTACACACACGGCAGGGATCCACCCTGCCGCTGCGTCCCTCGAGAGTCAGGCACCGTCTCCTGCTTGCGGTCCAGCTCCGCCCCTGGGCACAAGGACGAAACGGCAGCACCACACAGCCGAACACACAAGCAAGAGACCCCACAAAATGATCTTATAGCACCGCTACAACGACTAGAGGTATTTACAGGCACGGCAGGGATTCACCCTGCCGCTGCGTGTAGTCAACGTCACGGTGCTCGCTTGTCCTCAGTTGCTCTCGTTTACCGTCCCGTTCCGTTGCCTCCCCCTGTCTGTCTGACCTGCCCTTTTATTCTCTGCTCTCTCATCAAGCGCAGGTGCTCTAAGTGTGTGGTGCACAGGATTGGGCAACAGCGTCCATGGGGCTCTGCTTTGTCGTTGGCAGTCCCTGCAACTGCACACAACCTAGTCTCTAAAGCGGGCAGGTGGTTGTCCAAAGTTTACACGCACAGAATGGCGGGGTACATTTTCAGGGTCCACGGGTGGCGGCTCAGGTGCTGCAGGTGGAAATCCATAAACGATTGGCAGATCAAATTCTTGTGCTGGAGGGGATTGTTCATTGTGCACCGGGGTTGGTTCCGATGCGAGTGGAGGGGCTGTGCATACCTTCAGCGCATTCCGGTGTACAGTCTGTTCTCAACCACCCTTCTCGGGACGCACTCTATACACAACTCCTGTATCCCCCACACAGTCCAAAATTACATGGGATGTAGGATCCCACCAAGTCCCAAGCTTACCCCTACCCTCCCTGCGTCTATTTCGCAGCCATACACGTTCTCCAGGTACCAGAGGCAAAGCTTTAGCCCTTTTATCAAACTGCTGTTTGTAATGGGAGGCCGAATTAGCTGCTCTTTGACGCGCAAGGCTGTAAGCGAAAGTAAGTCTGTGACGGTGGTCCTTTACCCATCCCTCGGGGTCAAAATGAGGCGTCTGGGAGTCTCCACCCAAGCTGACGTCCACAGGAACTCGAAGGTGCCTACCAAACATTAAGAATGAGGGGGCATAGCCAGTGGCACTGTGCATTGTGTTATTATAGGCGTGGATCAACTCAGGCAGGTAGTGCTGCCAACAGCGTTGCTTTTCCTCTTCCAGGGAACGAAGCATGTGCAACAGCGTTTGGTTGAACCGTTCGACACTACCATTACCAGCGGGATGATAAGCGGTTGTGCGGCTTTTGGCTATGCCATACATGTCGCAGAGTTGCTGCATTAGGGCAGACTCAAAATTGGGACCACGGTCAGAATGAAAGCGCGCTGGACAGCCAAACCGCTGTATAATATGCTTCCAAAGCATCTTTACAGTGGTTTGTGCGGACTGATTGGTGGTAGCTATGGCCCACGCAAAACGGGTGAACAGGTCAGTAGCAACGAGGATGTTCTGGTATGTATCGGTGGGTCGGCCTAAAGTCAAAAAGTCTAAGCCAATAACCTCAAGCGGATAGGTAGCTGCAATTGGATGAAGGGGCGCTCTAGGCTCAATACGGCTTTTCTGCAGGCAACACACAACACATTCTTCCTGTAGCTTGCGTACCTCCCCCTCCATGCCAGGCCAGTAAAACTGCTGCCGAATCCAGGCCAGGGTCTTGTCAGCTCCAGCATGTGCACCAGCCTCGTGAGCCCTTCTCCAGACCTCTTCACACCTGGAACTCGGACACACAACCTGATGGTGTTCCTCGTGAGTTAGGCCATCGACAGAACTGCGATACAGTACATTGTCCTTCACCAACAACCTTTTCCACTGCTTCAGGAGCTTTTGACTTTTAATGGGGAGTGCCAGGCGATCTGGGCAATTAGGGAAGTTTCCCCTGGCGACTAGCTCCTTGACCAGCCGGATATCTGGGTCAGAGAGTTGATCCGTCTTCCACTCGACATCGGGTATGACCTCGACAGCGCCTGTAGTTGGTCCAGGCACGTGCCTCACAGGGACAGGGAATCTGGACAGTGCATCAGCATTGGTGTTACTTTTACCTGAGCGATACTTTACAGTGTAGTTAAATGAAGCAAGCTGTGCCACCCAGCGTTGCTCCACTGCTCCGAGGTGCGCTGTTTGTAGGTGGGCCAAAGGGTTATTGTCGGTGTATATGATCACCTCCGCTCCTGTAAGAAAGTCATTACTTTTTTCAGTCACGGCCCACTTAAGGGCTAGGAGTTCGATTTTAAAGGAGCTATAGTTAGCATCATTCTGTTCAGTTGGGTGTAGACTTCTGCTAGCGTGTGCAATCACACGTTCATGTCCATTTTGCAGCTGTGATAACACTGCGCCAAGTCCCTGGTTGCTCGCGTCTGTGTATATGATAAAAGGTTTATCGTATTGCGCATAGGCAAGGACTGGGGCCTGTGTGAGGGCAGCTTTCAGGGCATCAAAGGAGGTCTGACACTCTGGGGTCCATATCACCTTTCTAGATTGTGACCTTTTATCAGCTGGAATCCCCGTGAGGAGCCTGTTAAGGGGTCGTGCAATTTTTGCGAATCTCGTCTTTTTTACGCACCAATACTATCGGAGCCGCCCAAGGGCTACAACTCTCTTTAACAACACCTTTCTCTAACATACCCGAGAGGAGGGTCTTCACCTCTTTGTACAGCATGGGTGGAATTGGCCGGTACCTTTCCCGAATGGGGGCAGCATCGCCTGTAAGAATGTGATGCTGCACTAGGTTAGTCCGACCCAAAATCCTCCTCATGCTGTGAAAAAACTTGCTCCCACTTCTGCAGCAGGGCCTTTAGCTCCCTCTGCTGTTGGTCAGAAAGGTCAGGTCTGTTTCTCAACATGCTAGTCCCTTCAGATTGTCCTGGGCGGCTAGGGGAAACTGCACCAACCTCTACTCTGGTGACTACTACAACCCCGTCGTCCTCCAGGGAGAGGGACAAACTATGGGGGCCCTGCACATCCGCTTCCTCAATGTGATACAGTCGGCCTAGTTTACTGAACCGCCCTAGGGTAATGTTATAGGGGTGTGGATTACGAACACGCACTGGCACTCTACCTTGTTTAACTTCAACCAGAGCTCTTGCAACCCCAACATCACTGTCGCCCACGTCAAGCAGCGGCTCCACAAGGGCACAATGTCCTATTCCGACTGGATTCCTCTTTGTGCGGCCCCACACCACCATCTCACTCTCGGGAGGGACAACAACTTTGCCTTTTGCAGCCAATCTAACAAAACCAACCAGCCCGTCTTCTGCAGGGGAAACTTCAATATGGCGGCAAGTGGCAAATGCATCTCTCCACACTTTCTGGGTTTTAAACTGGGGCAGTCGAGAAGACGTGGCAGGGCATTTAAATAGTGTGTCCCAACAGGCCATGATAACATTCATGCCTACAATGAATGGGTGCGTGCACTTCACATCCTCTACAATCACCACCCCTCGCTCAGGGACTTTGACCCCCTCAACCTCTAGGTCAAGCACTGCATAGCCAGTGTATGGTATCTCTAGCCCATTTGCCGCTCTAAGCCTAAACAACGTAGGGGCCTTTCCCAGCTTAGCTTGGGTGAAGTGCTCATTAAAATGCTTTCCGCCATCAGTGTTACCTGAGACCCAGTGTCTAACTGCCCCTCCAACTGTACACCCTCGACTCTTAACTGCACCTTAGGACACTGACCAACAAACGTTTCTGTGGCCCTGGTTGGCAAACACTGGCCATCTAAACCTGCTGCACGGACCTCAGCGGCAGGAGTCTCTAGTTTAAAGCTGGTTCAGGGGTTACAACGCCTCTACAGCACCGAGCTATATGGCCTGCTTTCTTAATCCGGTTGCAAATAGGCCTACCTTGTGCATCTCGGTCGTTGTACGGTCTGGGTGTGGACTGCCTAGTCCTGGTTGGATTAGGTGGGCTGGGTTGTGGAGAAGCAGTCTGCAGCAGCGGCTTGAGCTCTGCCACTATTTCCTGTGTTATTCCCTTCATTTGCATTTTGACGTCCTCCATGATCTCACGCTTCAATTGCTCCTTCCAATTGGGTTCCTGGGGCAGTCTAGGAGAAGTGTATTGTTTAGAGATTACGGAGCATGTTGCCTCTGGTTCAGCTCGGCCATACTCCGACGCCAACAGCATAGCCTCTTGGCGAAGGTCTGAAAATTCCAACTCCGGGTTCCGACGAGCAAAAACTTTCAGGGCTTGGGAAAGGGGGCCATCACGGAGCCCCAGCAGCAGCTGGTCTCGCAAGGCACTTTCAGAGGGGGAGTCTTCGCGATCTAAGCGTTTGAGCCTACATTACAATTCACGCAGTCGCAAGATAAAACTTTGAACAGTTTCTTCGGCCTTCTGAGTACAGCTAAAAAATTGTGCCCTCAAAACCGGTATAGGAGTTCGGTCACCATATATAGAATCCAAGTGGACAAATATTTTTGCCACCTGGTCCTTTTCGTCCGCATCTAAAACTGCAACTTGTCGCTTTGCCTCCTCTGCTAGTGCCCCCAATAAAATACCAACTTTCCTTGCCTCTGGTAAGTCCTGGGAACCCAAAAGTCCTTTGATTTGCTCTTTCCAATCACCATATTTTAAATCACCATCTGGCCCTTTAAATTTTGGGAGCCATGGAGCACCAGGGTATACAGGCATCATCATGTTTGCTCTTTTTTTGGACACACCAGCTCTTAGGAATGGATCCTGCTCAGCAACGCCAGATTATGTAATGAGGGGGGGTTTTAATTATTGGAGGCAAAAGGAAATGATTGAGTAGTGGACCGAATTAAAACAGTTATGGCAGAGCAGTGGTGTGACCAAAAGAGGACAGAGCAAACTGTTAAAAACAAAATAATTTATTACAATAAATTAAAAGAGGGTTAAAAAGTCTTTAAAATGTGATAAAAAAAAGTCCCGAGCGCAGGGGGGCCCTCTTCAGGGAGACCTGTGCACAAAAACAAAGGGCCGGCAGGAACAATCCTCCACGTTTTGATTTAACGAGGGACAACGGGCGGGCACTTACACACACGGCAGGGATCCACCCTGACGCTGCGTCCCTCGAGAGTCAGGCACCGTCTCCTGCTTGCGGTCTAGCTCCGCCCCTGGGCACAAGGACGAAACGGCAGCACCACACAGCCGAACACACAAGCAAGAGACCCCACAAAATGATCTTATAGCACCGCTACAAGTACTTACAGGCACGGCAGGGATTCACCCTGCCGCTGCGTGTAGTCAACGTCACGGTGCTCTTCCCCGGGTCAGGTGCCTCCTCGGACCGCCGCTCCCCTCTCCACCACGCTCCCTATCACAAGAGCAGAGCCAGTACACAGTACACAAACAAGCTTCGCCAGCTGCTGGGGCCTGAGGCTCTCCTGGTTGCACCAGCTAATCCACAGAACGTTACTCACAGACAAGGCAGAGCTTTCTCGCTCTGCCGCTGCGTGGATAGGGCTCGCTGGTGCAGGCTGGGTCACTGCTCGGTCCGGTCTTGTAGAGCCGTGGTCTCGAACGCGTTGTCCTCAGGCGCCCCGCTCGCTTGTCCTCAGTGGCTCTCGTTTACCGTCCCGTTCCGTTGCCTTCCCCTGTCTGTCTCACCTGCCCTTTTATTATCTGCTCTCTCATCAAGCGGCATGTCTCCAGCTGGAGCAGGACTAAAATGCTAAAACACTCATGCATATAAAAACACCACTGCAAACTATAAAACAAAACATGTCCTCTCCCACATGCCGGATCACACATCGTTCCAGTCGGGTCTGGAGCTGGCCCTGGTTCAGACTGGAGAGGGCGCGGCGGTGTGTCCCTGTTCCACCAGCAGGAGGCAGCATGCTCACCACATGCCTCAGTCTGCACAGCGACAGTTCCTGGTGAGCAAAGAAGGAGGCCAGCAGGGGGCGCCCAAACTGGAAAGCGTCTGAGGAGGAGAGCAGGGTTTTGACCAGGTCTGAGGAGAACCAGACCATAGACCAGGTCTGAGGAAAAACAGACCAAGAGAATCTGAACAGAACCTGGTTTATGGTCTGGTTCAAACAGCAGACATTTGTCGTTTTGCATCAGAGAATCAAACAGAGGAAATACAACAATAACAAACAGTGGGATGACCATTGTCAAGAAATAAAACAGAATAAACATCGTAGATCATCACTGTCCTTCAAACCTCCTGCACCAGGACGGTTTTGTTTGTCTTATTTAAATCACACTTTTTTAAAAACTAAAGTAGATTCAACCTATTGATTGAACAGATTTATACCCTGAAAACCCCAACTTCAATTGTGAAGATACTTTTCAAAATCATTTAAAGAATAAATTGTTTAGGTACCAAAACAGAGCCCTGGGGGACCCCACAGAGGACAGACTTAGTCCAACCTAAAACTAGGCCGAGTCAAAAACTGGCCTCTTACCTTGGCTTTGGGCCTCAATGCAGGTGGAGCAGACATTGTCTTGCCAACTGTTGCCTTTGACGACAGCTTCCATGTTGATGCTATTGACCAGATGCATCGATGTCAACCAGTCACGTGATTGTGCATGAGCTTACGGCGGAAGTAGTGGAAACTAGCATTGCGGTGAGAGCGAAACGGACTACAACTCTTAAAAACGGAGCTTCTTCTCCTAAATCGAGAAGTGGCTGCTTCAAGCACATGTTCGATTATGTTATTGGTGGATATAGGACATCTTGTCAGGGCTCACAAAGAGCGGTATTTGGAGAAGTTAAGGATCGCCGAACTGGATTTTGACCCGTACCTTCTCCCACAGTCAATTTCATCGATTAAATGAAATGTCTAATTTTGCCCGAATTCACCCCACCTGATCTTTTTCATAATGCATCCCCTCACAGTACACTGGAGCAGATTTATATGTACATTTTGCTGGTAGAATTAGCGCATTAGCAATAGTCCACTTTTCTGTGGCTTTTCTATCTACAGCCAAACATGATACATATTGACGGAGAGGAAAATAGTGAAAAACGCAACTGACGTCTAAGATAAGATAAGAGATCCTTTATTCGTGACACAGTGGGGAAATTTCAATGTTGCAGCGCACATACAGGACAGTAGTAAGAGACACTTGTGTCATTGTCCTTTGGAAATATAATAAATTCAAACTTGTGATTGATTTATCTTTTAAAAAGTCTTCACAGCATATGAGGGAGTACTTGGATGGCTCTCAGTCCTTTTGTCTTCATGATGAGAAGGTATCAGATAAAAAGACACATTTGGCTTATGGCTTATGCCAACTGCACTGCAAAATATCACAGTTTTGGCTTTAATTCGCTGAACGCTGAAACAGGTTTGTTTTGGTCAGGTTTCCGTAGGCTTGCAGTAAGACTTCCGCTGTCTGTGATGGAGAGTGGGCGTGGCCGGGACGCAATAGCAGTTTGTGTGAGAGACACAGCTGGACTCTGAGGAGACCATGTTTGAGAAGGTCCCGTCTGGACCAGTGGGGGCGGGTCCCAGCTCAAAAGTGGCCAAAATGACGTGCGCTGACATGCTTGCAATACCACCCCGGGCCGATGGGGGTGGACCCAGAAGAAGAATTAGCCAATGCTAACATATAGCGATGGCAGACCTCTCGAAAACGTCTTTACAGGATGGACCAAAAGTTGGCTCTTGGCCCAAAGTTCCGTTCCACATGTGTGTCAATGCTGAGGGGGGTGGATTTTTTTGGTCCACTCTAGTTTACTTGCGCCGGCTGACGCATGCGCAGATGCGTTTATTCACAATTTTATTCTGGGTGGGACCACTCGCGGCCATTTTGGATTGCTCCAGTAGAGCACATTTTTTGGCCCATTAATTAGAACATCGGAGATAGGCGTCACTCTGTCCGTTAATATATACAGTCTATGGTCTGGACATATGTCCATACATGTGGAGAGCCTGCGGACCAGACTGGGTTTAGACCGAGTTCAGACACACACAGACATACACAGATTCACACACACCGTACCTGGCTGGCTGACCCCATGGCCTGTCCATGGCTCCACTGCAGGCACATCCCTGCACGCTGGTGGTAGTAGTTGCCGTGTCTGCACTCGCTGACGTCGTCTCCACCATGTTGCGGCCACAGACGCCGCAGCTGAGGCAGCGGTTGATGTGGTTCCAGAGCGCGGTGAAAAATCCGGTCAAGCACTCCTCACACATGCTGTCCCTCTCTGCCGTGCAGCGCTCCCGCAGGAACTTCCCCGGGAGACACTGTGCACAAACAGAACATTCACTCACGCTACTAATAAAGTATTCTGGCGATTGTTTTGTGGGGATTCTGTGTGTTTTATTTGAGGCTTGACCCTGAATAAGTTTAGTTGAAAATTGTGACAGTAGTTGGACCAGGTCAGAACATCCTTAGACTGTTAACTTTTCAACAACAGGAGGAATGAGTGCTACAGGGTCCAAATGTTAAAGACGTTAGTAGAATCAGTTGCTCCTCAGAATGAGAAATAGCATAGCAATTAAAGATACCCTCTGTGGAAAAGTAAAAACGGTAAAATCCGAGGCACTCTGACAAATAAAAAGTGCTTTAATGAGGGAAAGGGACCAGCGAGTTTCGGCCGCGCAGGGCCTCTCACGAGCCGGAAAAAAAAACACACACACACAATGCAATTGTTGCATATGGAAGAATGCTTGAGGTATATATATATTTTTTTTTCGTTCTGACATGGCTATAGCGAGAACACAGTGATCTCAACATGACCGCCTATGCTGGGCAAGCTATGGAGCAAGGAAAAAGATTAACCAATGAGCTTACTGCAGAGGCATCCCGGCCCACCCCATGAATTGCATATCATTAAGAGAAATACGGAAATAAATTGAGAAATAAATAAATTGAGAAATAAATAAATAAATGCAAAAATAAATAAATAAATAGAGAAATAAATAAATAAATAGAGAAATAAATAAATAAATTCAAAAATAAATACAGAAATAGATAAATAAATGCAGAAATAAATGTATGAATAAATACAGAAATAAATATATATATAAATAAATAAATACAGAAATAAATGCACTTATTCTCATAATTGCATGCATTTCTTTGCAAATGTTATCTTTTTTAAATGTATTTATTTATTTCTGTATATATTTATTGTTTTGGCAGCCACAGTCCTCCATAGTCCCGGGTTTTCTATGAAGTAAGAATAAAGTCCCAGTCCCAGCAGATTGGTGCCAAGACAGAGGTGAGTCTGATCAATGTTTCTTCTCGTCATCCCAGGTCTCATTTGGGCTTTGAAATTGTTCCGTTTGGTCTCATATACTTTATTATAGCTTGTTCTTATATCTCCTCTGATCTTCTTGCGTTAAAATGCTTATATACAGTGCTATTCGCCCACTGAGTCTTTTAAAAGTACTCGTAGCATCCATGCTTCAGTATGCGCCGCTCTGTCTGGGCGCATGTGCACGTGGGTGTAAATAAAGTGCAACACCACCCGTGTAGTTTATAAATTGAACTGTCCTTGTGGATGGTTTTACATAGGAATGACAAAGCGCCGTTTGAAAGACCGCCTGTCATACACAAGTATGCGATCAAAACAAAAAATCCAAATTATCCTATGACTAAGCACTTTTCTTCAGTTGGACACAATCTCAGTCAGTTACAAGCCATGGTCATTGCGGTGATCCCTGCCAGTCTGAGGGCTGGGGACAGAGTAAAAAGACTTGCACAAAGAGAAACGTTCAGGATCGATAAACTTAAAGCTACTGTTTTTCTTGGGTTAAATTATGTTGATTTTTCAGTGTTTTTGTAATGTTTGTATTTTAAAAAAATAAGGTGTTCACTGAGGGGCCCCTCCTGTGGAGTGTATTCTTCGGGATGTATGTGTTGTAGTGGTATCTATGTCTTGATAACATATACTGCAGTGTTGTCATTGTTTAGATATTTTTACGTCATATCTTCTCTTCATTCAAAAAGTTGTTGTACAATGGATGTCTCTTTGTCGTGTCACTTGATATTCCAGGTGACGTCAAGTGTCTATTTAAACACCTGTTAAACTGTTTTTTAACACTGCCCTGAAGAAAACTTTATTCTCAAGTCAGAAATGATCACCCTTATGCATGAAATAGCTATAATTTCAGAGAAGTTTTGAGTGATGTATGGTGTATCACCCACATTCTTATGACGCATGTGTTTAGGATTGACTGTGAAAATAACATGCTCTGGGGGACTTGGATGTAAACGACGCGCTCTGAGGAACACACAGGAAGTCACAGTTTAGTTTGTGAGGACCGTGATCAGGTCAAACGCCAGGAGCCCGGCACATGGTTCCAGTGAGGATTTCGCTTTAGAGGTCTGCACTCTACAAGTTTCTGGTTAATAGCTTTCAACTCGGGTGAGGGCTTTTGAGGGTTTTATGCAGTATCTTTGCTCCTCGCACTGCACATTTCTAGACTGAGAATTTGGAGGTTGTTCCTCGCATTGCTGTAATGACTCCTCCAGTTTGGGGGTCACTGCCCCGAGTGCCCCGTTTACTATGGGTTATACTGTCACCTTTACCATCAGACCCTCTCTCACTCCTCTCACTACAGTTTGAAAGATGAGGTCAGATTGTTCGGACTGAATATGTGTGATTGAAAAACACAGACACAGTTTGTATTTGTCTCTTTTATTGACAGTTGCTCATTAAACAATACAGCAATAATGTTCTTTTACAATAAAATAGTGCAAAAATACAATCAGAGGTCAGAGGCCGTGATGTGGCTAAAGCTGTCGTGGGTCTGGATCCGACAGAAGACTGAGCTTCGCAAAAAATAATGTTGAGTTATAACAATGCGTTCTAATAAGATGATGATAGAATGTTTTATGGTTTTACTTTTTACAAGACTCTTTGTCGGACAAACCACATATGTTATTTATGAATCTAAAGTTACGTAACCCAACCTGTGGAATGTGGAAAATCATACAGACAGTATAACACAGCTTCTTTATCAGCAGAACAGACAGTGGCAGTCTGGGTTTAGTTAAGTCCAGATTCAGAATCAGTCCCTGGCTTTGGCCCTTGCTTTGGTCCAGAGTTTTAGTCCTGGATTGGAGGGCAGACCTGATCCAGTCCTGGTTCAGTCCTGAGTTGTAGTTCTTGCTTGGTGCCTCAGAGTAGAAATGGGATTGGCCTGGGTTGGAGGACAGATCTGGGACAGACCTGGTTTAGTCCAGTCTGAATGCGGGTCAGTTTGTTGCGTAGTTTCTCTGCGGTGTGCATGGCTCCGGTCTCGGACAGGATCGGCGGTAGAGTCCTGAGATGCTCCAGGCTGGTCTCTGAGATCCATTGTTCCAGTCGGGTCTGGAGCTGGCCCTGGTTCAGACTGGAGAGGGCGCGGCGGTGTGTCCCTGTTCCACCAGAAGGAGGCAGCATGCTCACCACATGCCTCAGTCTGCGCAGCGACAGTTCGTGGTGAGCAAAGAAGGAGGCCAGCAGGGGGCGCCCCAACTGCAAAGGGTCTGAGGAGGAGAGCAGGGTTTTGACCAGGTCTGAAGAGAACCAGACCATAGACCAGGTCTGAGGAAAAACAGACCACAGACCAGGTCTGAAGAGAACCTGGTCTATGGTCTGGTTCAAACAGCAGACATTTTTTATTTCAATGTCTGTGTGTATTGCCCTAATTAATAACAGCAGTTGTCTCAAAAGACTTTATAAAGTAGTCGATTTGCATCAGAGAATCAAACAGGAAATACAATAATAACAAACATATAGGAGCCGTTGGTCCATAAGGAGTGGGATGACCATTGTCAAGAAATAAAACAGAATAAACATCGTAGATCATCACTGTCCTTCAAACCTCCTGCACCAGGACGGTTTTGTTTGTCTTATTTAAATCACACTTTTTTTTAAACTAAAGTAGATTCAACCTATTGATTGAACAGATTTATACCCTGAAAACCCCAACTTCAATTGTGAAGATACTTTTCAAAATCATTTAAAGAATAAATTGTTTAGGTACCAAAACTAAAATTTTTATCTGGGGGACCCCACAGAGGACAGGTTATAATGGGACAGGTTTGGAGAAAGCCTGAACTTACTGTTCAATAACCACACCTGTTCAGACGTAGACCAGACGCGGTCTAGATCCTAACTAGACTTAGTCCACACTAAAACTAGACCATGTCAAAGACTGGCCTCTCACCTTGGCTTTGGGCCTCAATGCAGGTGGAGCAGACATTGTCATGCCAACTGTTGCCCTTGACGACAGCTTCCATGTTGATGCTAGAGCAGTTTGTGTGAGAGACACAGCTGGACTCTGAGGAGACCGTGTTTGAGAATGTCCCGTCCGGACACGGGGCACAGACCGAGTCCACATGTGGAGAGCCTGCGGACCAGACCAGGTTTAGGCCAAGTTCAGACACACACATTCATATACACATTCACACACACCGTACCTGGCTGGCTGACCCCATGGCCTGTCCCGCACTGGCTCCAGCGCACGCACATCCCGGCGCGCTGGCGGTAGTAGTAGCCATGTTTGCACTCGCAGGCGCAGTCGCGTTGGCGGCTGCAGCGCGTCGTCTCCACCATGTTCCGTCCACAGACGCCGCAGCTGAGGCAGCGGTTGATGTGGTTCCAGAGCGCGGTGAAAGATCCGGGCGGGCACTCCTCACACACGCTGTCCCTCTCTGCCGTGCAGCGCTCCCGCAGGAACCTCCCTGGGGGACACTGTGCACAGGTGAGATGCACGCCGCTCACCGGGTCCTGGCAGCCGAATGTCAGCTCTGCTGTGTTTGAAGTCGAGTTCAGAGAAGCGTCCGGTGAGACCGAGCCCAGAACCAGAGCAATGAGCAGAGAGGGTCGCAGCATGCACAGGACACTCTGTGAAGGACACTGAGGTAAACAACACACTCTGAGGGACAGGAAGGTCAAAGGTCCCTGGTTTAAACATGATTACTGTGCTATTTGGCTATTTAGTAGTTTTTGTATTGATTCCCTCAAGCTTTAGTTAGAAACCTATTTTTCTCGTTCACTCTTGAGAGGCCCCAAAACGACTTCATTCAAATCATCATTTGATTGACAAGCGGTAAGAAGCTGAAACAGCGAATCATTGCAGTCTATGATCAGCGCATGAAGCCTCTCCCCGAGTCCAGTGTCTGGCCCATAGACTGTAAACATCAGTATGTTAAAACTAGGACTAAGGTGATCTTGAAACCTGGTTTTATTTTCACAATAAAAGAAGCTAATCAAAAGCCTGGTTTGTAAGTACAATGCAAACAATTTGCGGTATACTAAATATTAAAAGGTGTGTCGTTTTTACTGCCATCTAGTGTTGGGATCATATATTGCAGTCCAGGATACTACGGAAGCCTTTGAAAGACAATATATCGTCTTTGACAGTGCTCCTCAACTCTCAGTCATTCACAGACTGCCAAGGAAAGAAACTTTAGTTTGATAAATGACCGGATCTCTCCAAACGTCTCGGCCACTTGACATGGAGGCGACATGTAAACAAGACCACGTTCTGAAGCAGCAGCCGCTGCAAAGAGGCTCTACTGAGTTTTACCATGGATCTATTATAATATATAGTTTACAAACGCGGTGTGAAGAGAAGAGACGCATGGAGGAATAACGTCTGCGGAAGCTTATAACTACGATGATCAGTGAAGCAGGAGATATACACAGCCACGGCAGGACTAGGGTTGCCAACCGTCCCTTGAAATACGGAATTGTCTCGTATTATAGAAAAACTATGTGCGTCCCGTATTGAACTGATACGGGACGGCATTTGTCCCGTATTTTCAGAGCCACCTTAAATGCATCACTCACTCACTGCATGTCACACACGCGACACACACACACAGTAATCACAGTTTAAGCGTCGGTGAGATTTCATAACACTTTGACTTTACTAATTGTGCTAAAATGATCATCTCTACGTTGATTTTTCAAATCCAATGGGCTGTTTTAATGCAGAGAAATCAATTGAATCCAATGCACTGCAGATAAAAGCACTTAGGGAGCGTCAACAAATGTCAATATCAGCTTTGTAAACGAACAATAGCTTTTACGGAGGCCATGTACACGCACTAAACTCTCAGACAATACAAATAATGACCATGTCTAACTGCTACAGACTTTGATTTCAACATTTGTGAGGTATTTTTTTTTTTTTATGAATACATGTGTTTTTCTTTTTTATTTGCTTTTGCAGTGAATGGTATTTACTGTAACATACATAAATAATGTATGTTACAGCATTTTGTCTTTTTTATATTTTTATTACTAATATGAATGCATTAAATCCTTAACCAGCCAAACAGTTCCACCTATTTATTAAATTTCATTTTTGACTAAGGATTTGTTTTTAAAAAAATATGTAGTCAATAAATTAAGTTCTAAAAACTGATTAGGAAATTCCATGATTACTGTATAGATTGAAATACGGACTAAAAACTTCTCAACCCAATCCACCCAAATGGTGTCCCTTATTTTTTTGTTCTCAAGTTGGCAACCCTAGGCAGGACATGGCTAAAAGCTATTGCTAGCATTAGCGTTAGCCACAGCGCCCTATCTGCATCACGGTAAGAAAAACAACATTCATTCACTCTGCTGATCAAGTATTCTGGCAATTGTTTTGTGGGGATTCTGTGTTTTATTTGAGGCTTGTCCATGAATAAGTTTAGTTGAAAACTGTGACTGTAATTGGACCAGGTCAGAACATCCTTAGACTGTGTTGCAGATTCCGCCTCGTTCTCATTGCGTACTCATAAAAGTTACGTATTGTTCATGTGTGAGTCTGTTGTTTACAAACTACACAATGTGCCTGCTGCGTGTGGTTCGCGATGTTGACATTTTTCTGTATGATGTCGGACTTTTGCATAATTATTTTTTAAGACTGTCGGTCGTTCTTGGTTCCTTCCTTCTTCAAACGTGTGTTGGCACGATATCAGTAGAATTGAAAACGCGGTCCTTGCATCCTTTTTGTCCCTTATCCGCCACTTCAAGATGTGTTTCAAGATGGCGCATTGATACGGATAGTACTCTGCTCTCATGGACATTTATATTTTGAATTCTAAGCCTAGGAATTTCTCTGAAATGATCACCTCTATGGATGAAATGGCTATAATTTCAAACGTTTTGATTGATGTATGGTAAATCGGCCACATTTTTATCACAGATGTAGAGTGTTGACTTTCTAGGTAAAGGCAAGTTATGAAGAGCTTAGAAAGTAAGAGAAAAATCCAAGGCACTTGTGGTCAATAGTTTAGAGAGTTAAAAAGCCTTTATATTTTTATGGCTGTAATTTAAAATATGCACCAACGCGTTTTGGCCTAGCTTGGCCTTCTACAGGATGCAAATGGTAGCACCAGTGCCGTGAGACTTATATAGGGCGAGGCTTCATTAGGCCCTCCCCTAAACATGCACTCACAACCTTCCTTTTAACATTTGGTGTATTTACATCAAATATACAATGCAAAAACCTATTTACAATTACACATTCACAAGGGGTGTACATATACTTTTTCTACACCACCCCTTTTGACTTTCTAAGCTCTTTATAACTTGCCTTTATCTTGAAAGTCAACACTCCAATTTTTAGTAGAAAGTTAAATTCCTCTTCCAATTGAGCATCTGGTCTTTGTAAATGTACACGTAGCACTCCTCACCCCTTGTTTTTTTTCAGTATTATCACTAACATGTTAGGATGGACCGGCACATTGTCCCAGTAAAGATTTGTCTGCACTCTACGAGTTTCTGGTTAATCTCGTTCAGCTCGGGTCAGGGAGCTTGAGGGTTTTATTCAGTATCTTTGCTGTAACTACTCCAGTTTGGGTCAGTGCTCGAGTGCAACGATTAACCCGGGTACGACTGTCACCTTTACCTTCAGACCCATGATGTGAGCCTCTGTCCTGTAGGCCAGCCCTTTGGTAGGACTTCTTAAGATCAGCTACTTCTGCTATTATACATCTATGATTTTTTTATAAATATACAGGTATACCCTCAAGCTCCCTGGAACTGAGCTTAGACAGGTTGTGAATTGTTATGTATTGTAATATTTATATGTACTTTTCTCACACTTGTACAGAGTTTTGCCCGCAGCTGCTTGCTGCTGTTTATGTTCATGCCTCCACATAAACTTGTGTTGATTCTATTTATACACGACATCTGTACACACTCACAGCAGTACTTCCACATTCTGACAGTTACACTTATGGAACACTGCCAACACTTATGATGTCATGTGCTATGCACACTACTACTACTACTACTACTACTACTACTACTACTACTACTACTACTACTACTACTACTACTACTACTACTACTACTACTACTACTACTACTACTACTACTACTACTACTACTGCTACTACTACTACTACTACTACTACTACTACTGCTAAAAATAGTTCTACTGCTGAGAATAATACTGCAACTGAAAATACTTATCCTTACAGAGGCCAAACTAGAGAAATGGTGTGGTGGTCTGTGGTCTTGCGTACCCCAGCGTTAGATTAGGAATTTTGATGTTAAGGGGAAACATTTCTATATTCTTAAAAGAAACATGCAAATATGAAGTATAATAACATAGAAATATAAAACCTGTTTACTTACCATAACTGGCCAAGTCCTCAGCAACAATTGTAAGGAGTAGCAAAAATAGTGGTAGTAGTAGTAGTAATAGTTGTAGTAGTTGTAGTGGTAGCAACAGCATCAGTACTACCAGCATGCTCTATCTCTCTGGGGCCTGTATTTGTGAGCTGCCTTCAGCCCCGCCTACACATACCACATACCACAATGATGTCATGATTTAATTGGTGACTCACAGAGTAAACGGCATGACGCTCTCAAACAATTATTTGCTGAACAATCTCAGTCTGATGTCATCCAACTGGGGTTCTCAAAACAGCTCCTGAAACCGGAACACAATCACACCTCTCAGTTAGCTGCTCAAGATGGAAAATCACAGGTTCATGAAGGACAGACTTCTTTATTTTGTCTGATTGGATCTCAGGTTACGTAAATTAAAAAAGTGATGTAAAATAAGTCTAAAATTGCTCAAATTTGGCAAAATGTATCTTAATTTGAAAACCAGATTTGCCAATGAGACAAAGCAAAATTATCTTGTTTTAAAAAGAAATAAGAAAAGTCTTCCTTGGAATGAAAAAATAAAGCAACAGTTCTTGAAACAAGACTGGAGCTGGAGTTGGCTGAGAGACAAATGTGCTCCATCTCCTCAGCGATATCAGCGAGATTCACCAGTGGGTTCCGCTTCTCGCTTCTATCGTCAGAGAGCAATTGTGTGACTTTGGTCTGTGGAAGGTTCTATTTAAATAAAGATTACTTACTCACTTATATACAAATACATTCTCAAGGATTCCAGAGGTTCAGTTTTCCAATGAAAGACAACAGCTGCAGTCGGCTGGATGACACTGCGTTTATGATTTCAAGAGTGCTTGCAGCAGTAGTGCGGCAAAGGACACACAACATGACACAGAGGACACACAACATGACACAGCGGACACACAACATGACACAGCGGACACACAACATGACACAGCGGACACACAACATGACACAGCGGACACACAACATGACACAGAGGACACACAACATGACACAGAGGACACACAACATGACACAAAGGACACACAACATGACACAGAACACACAACATGACAGAGGACACACAACATGACACAGAGGACACACAACACTGCACTGAGGACACACAACATGACACAAAGGACACACAACATGACACAGAGAACACACAACATGACAGAGGACACACAACATGACACAGAGGACACACAACACTACACTGAGGACACAGTTGGCCCGCGGGCCGCAGTTAGAAGCCTGTGAGGAGCAGCATCAGTGAGTGCTGACACACGAGCTGTGTTTGGTCATGTGCATTATCATGACGGTGGTTTATGTCAGCTTTAATCATCTGTTTCCAGCTGATCAGCTCCTCCTGGTGGTGACTCAGCGGACTGAATGTCTTTTATCCCTGTCTGTATGTGGAACGACTTTACTATTTCAACATTTCAGTGATGATTCAGTTGACTATTAGGTAAGAGAACCTGTGGGAAAATATTGGAGTAGTATCAAACGGACGCCAACGTTACTTTTGGCTTCTACAGAGCTTTGTCAAAATGGCTGCGGGAGGAAAATGTGAAACAACTAGGGCTGTCAAAATAATTGCGTAAACTCACGATAAAAAAAAAAAAATCATTAATCTAATTTTAAAATGAACGCATTTGACACTCTGGACAGCAGTTCCGACCTCCAGTGGCTGTGAGCCGCTTTGACAACAACACGGCGAATGGCGCCGCCGTAACGTGGTCATATCCAAGACCATACACGCACACAGGACTATTCTCTGCTTGTTGTGTGCGTGTCTTTGCAAAACCTGTGCACACAGTAAATTCACAACTGAAGCTGCACTATGGAGCCTCTGGAAGTGTCCATGTTTCCTCCCGAAGCGCTAATAAAGTAGCTAAATTAAAGCTGGGGTACCTAATTTACCTTGCACTACCAGTTCATGTTGGTTGTGCTCAAAAGTAAAATGTTGCGAGCAAACAGATTTAATGACATTCTGCATTTCAGACTTTTTTGAAATGTCCCATTCTCATCCCTGTAACAAACAATAGTTTTGGTCTGTGTTTACTACAGAAAACTTTATTGTCCACCAAGGTGGAAAATGGTCTTTAGTTGCATTTAGCTAAAATACATAAAAACACACATCCAGCAAAATATCATGTGGCACTACATTCACATTACAATTGGACACCAAAAGTAGAACGCACTGGGAACAGAATCCCCAACAAGACCTCATCTGGCCCAAAGACAAGAGTCAACCTCATGAATGTTAAGAATGTTAATGCCATTATATGTGGATTTATTTTTGTTATAATAAACAAATACAGAACATAAGTACACTATGTTGTCATTTTTTCTTTCCATTCAGACAACCATTGACAAAAAAATATGGCACAATTTTGCCGAAAGCATTAATTGCCGAATGCGATTAATTACGATTAATTCATTTTTAAGCTACAATTAACTTGATTCAAATGTTAATCGTTTGACAGCCCTAGAAATAATGCATTTAAGCAAGCGTTAGCCGGAACTAGCCCCATTCATTTAACAAGTGGATTCTGAAGTCCACAGCGGGTAATCTAGAAGACTTGACCAGAAGTTGGTCTTATGTTAAATAACAGAAGTATTTTAAGACACTTCCACTATGTAAGACAAGAATAGCGGAAGTGTCCAAGGGGCGACAAACTTAGACTGTATAACTGGATTCTACTCTACTCTACCCTGATTGGAAGTGTTTCCACTGGTCTCAAATGTGGGTCTCCCCGAGGTTCCTCACTTTTCTTCCCACTGGGTTTTTGTGAGTTTTTCCTTGCCAATGCAGGAGGGTCTGTTGGACAGTTAGTGTCCAACTAGAAGGTCTTTGGTGATGATCCAGGACACTTTAACGTTCTACAACATGTATGTACATTTATCAACATTCATGGACATTGATTGGTCTCTCCCTATGGACCAATACATATGTGTACTTTCTGTGTCTTAACTGTTGACTCAGTTATCTGATCTGTGTTGGTGATTTCAATGGTTTTGTTAAGTTCTCTGAGATTACTTTTGTGGTGATTTAGGGCTGTACAAGAATAAGTTGTTGTATTTGTTGTTGTTGTTGTGGTCCTGTGTAACCAGTTCCACGTCCTAGTCCCTCTTGGTCCTGGTTCTATCCAGGCCGAGCTGGTGCTAAAGTGTTCTAACTAACACAGAGATTGACCAGAGTGCAGCTGGAAACCATGGCTGGAAACCATGGCTACCAAGGCTGGTTTGTTGTGGGTAGGTTTCTATGATACAGTACCACATACCATCCATCCATCCATTTTCTTCCCCTTAATCTATTTCTGGGGCTGGGGGGTGCCAGTCAGAGCTGCACCCAGCACACTTAGCACCAGCATCTCACTGATCCTCCTGCAGGTGGTGAGTCCACAGGAGCTGAGATCTTTCAGTGGGGGCTTCAGGGAAAGTGCCCAAGTATCTTGGGTTTCTTGCCCAAGGACACAACGACAGCAGACATCAGTGGGAGTCATGAAGTCAGTTTTATGGTGGGCTCGAACCCACAACTTTCAGGCCCAAAGGCCAATGGTCTACCAACTGAGCCACAGTCGCCCCCAAGTACAATATACTAAAGTTGATAAAATCACAACCAGTGGCAGTAGAGTAGAGTAGGGCTAGGTAGGGAACTTTTTAGAAACCTCCATTGACACAGGAAGAACATGCAAGCTCTACTAAGAAAGCCATATCACAACCAGGATTCATGCAGGACCTTCATGAAGCGCGAGCACAAACCACTCAGAATAAAAACAAAAAAAAGATGATCGGGACAACACATGAGCTCCGGAAAAGTGTTTGTGAAATCAGTCTTTTGCCTCTTGTGTAGTTTGTTTGAGAGGATGATTTTACACATTGTGTAGTTGTCACGTGTTCATGATTAAAGGTAAGATCTCTGGAGTTACAGAAGGCAAACAGTGACACTTTTATTGTCCAGCGGTGCCCTCTAGCGGCAGACAGCCGGACCTACAAAGGACAGATGTGAGTTCTGAAGGAGTATCGCCACCTATGCAGCGGCATGCTCTCTTTCTCTCCTCTCACTCTCTCTCTCACACCTCTCTCATTTTTCTCCTCTCTCTCTCTGCTCTGCCCGTCCTCTCGTTCTGTCTTCTCACTGCATTTCCCCGTGTGTCCAGCATTCGTCACTGCGTTCACGTGAAAGACTGGTCGCGTCCAAAATCACAGAAAGACCCTCCACCCTTCCTCCCTCCCTCTTTCCTTCCTCCTTACTTCCTCCCCCCTTTCTCCTCTTAGGACACAGGGCAGCTCCAGATTGGCCTTCGTCAGATTTGACACTTTTTACGTGTTTTTAGTTTGATTCAAACCCGTCCCGCGTGAAACAGAGGCGGCGCGCACTCACCTGGACGTCACACGCACGCGCACGCAGGAATGAGGCGTACGAGGGGCACACCTTTACGTGCCCTGCGTCAGATGTGAGCTCTGCGGGTCAGCAAGTGGTGTCCTGGGACCAAGCCGAGCGAGAGCGGCTCCAGAGCAGACAGAAGAGACGCTGAAGTCACGCTGAAGCAGATGCATGGAGGAGGCGAGCCTTTCCACAGAGCTGACCGGTGAGAGGAGAACATTGATTGCCTGAGTGAAGGTGGTTTTCTCTTTTTTATTTTTCTGTCTGAAAAAGCTGATCTAAAGATGTGACAGAGGGAAAAAAATACATGATGTTAAAACTAGTGATAGAAACAAACTTTTTATAGCCAGGAACTAGAGACATGGGTCTGCAGAGAGAGACCAGCAGTCCTGGGTTTGATTCCACCTTCAAACATGACAGACTTTCTGTGTGGAGTTTGCGTGTTCTCCCCGTGTCTGTGTAGGGTTTGTCAGGTTTCCCCTACCACTAAAACCCTGTACAACAGCTCCCATCTCTCTCTCCTGAAAAAGAAATTCTGAGATCCCAGTGGGACTTTCTTGGTCAAATAAACGTCAATAAATAAACAAACATGTTTCTCTGCCACTTCTGCCTAATAACTCCTGTCAGTCCTGTAACAGTATGATGTCATTGTACCACTATGACATCACAACAAATTTAGAAAGACCAGAGAGAGAGACCAGGGCGAGAGACCAGGGCGAGAGACCAGGGCGAGAGACCAGGGCGAGAGACCAGGGCGAGAGACCAGGGCGAGAGACCAGGGAGAGACCAGGGAGAGACCAGACAGAGATCAGATACCAGAGACAGACCCTTCATACTTGTTGTACTATATATTATCTTCTGAAGATACTATTTTCCATTCTAAAACATTAAATGAAAAACCAAATAGTCATTCAATCATTTTTGAATGGGTACAAATGAGCATTCATATTTCTTCTTAAATCAGATTGGACAACGGAACAAACACAGGTCTGGTTTTACTTCTCTCACTTGAACTTAAATCAATGTTTATCCTCATCTTCTCTATGCAAAGAACTTACATCAATGCATTCTTTGCGGCCAGTTAATATCATGGCAACAGAACCGGAACAGGACCAGACTTCAGGACTTCAGGCCTAGAATTCAGGACTTCAGGGCTTTGTGTTGAGACTAGTTCCTGGTCTGGACTCATTTCCTCAGTGGAGCCAAGCCCAAACACGTCTCCTGTAGCAGTGCTCCTCACATACTTCTGTCCCACTCTAGAATTAAAGCTGAGGTATGTAACTTTCAGACCACAACAGTAGAATAATGTAGTAAAATCCATGTCACTAGTTCCTGGCTCTAAAACAGTTTTGTCTGGGTCTGGTCTGGTCTGGTCTAGGTCTGGTAGTTTTCTTCTATCACAAATTTTCACATGATGTATTTCTGGAATCTTTAGATCAACTTTTTCAGAAGGAAGAGTAACCACCCTCACTCAACCAATTAGCTCTCAGCCCTGTAAGTCAAATACTGACTCACAGGGCTCCTTCTCATTTTACCAAAAGATTCTTTCCAACTACAAACTGCTATTCATGAAACAGAGCGTTTTTGGAGTTTTAAAGCTCATACCCGGCTTTGGTAAAATGACACTACAGCCACAGCCGCCCTTGGGCAAAGTGAAAGAAGTGAGGCATCTGCTTTATATATTTGGTCCTGGTGAATGAAACTCACACACGCAGCAGCAGTAGTGCCAGCAGCATCAGTAGTAGTGCCAGCAGCATCAGTAGTAGTGGTAGCAGCAGCAGTAGTAGCAGCGGCATAGTGAGTAATAGTAATTATAGTGCTATTAGTAGTAATCAGAGTTGTAGTAATGGTAGTTGCAGCAGTAGCAGTATGTGGTATAAGTATAAGTGATAGTAGTAGTTGTAGTAGTAGTTCATATAACAGCAGCAGACGTAGTAGTAGTAGTAGTAGTAGTAGTAGTATGCCACATTTTTCATATCCTGGAGCTGTGTACCTGAGCTCGTTCTTATCAGTGGGGGGAGGGGCATTCCACAACTCCACTTTCACTCACTGGAACTGTTCTGTGAGTGAAAGATGAAAGTACAGGTGAGTAGTAGTAGTAGTGGTAGTAGTAGTTGTTGCAGCTTTAGTAGTATAGTGGTGAGAAATGAAGACAGCAGCACATGGGATACGGATTACTTTTTGTCCTTCCTGCTAGAATAAAGCTCTTTATATAATTTGTGGAAATCAAGAACAAAGACGTCATCACATGAGGTATAAATGACTCATGCTTAAGATATACTGTAGATACTGTAGTACCAATGTGGTCAGAACAATATCTGACCAGCATATTTTCTACTGTGAACTGGACCCTTGTTATATCTGTGTTTCAGCTAAACATTATTAGAGTCATTTATATCTCAGAGATGACATTTCTTGTCTTGATTGGCACAAATCATATCAAAACCCTGTCTCCTTTTCTTCTAGCTGGAAGGGACTCAAAATAATCCGTGGTATATGTTCCATCGCCGCTGTGTTGTCTTCATTTCTTGTCTGGAATAGTACTAGAATTAGCTGCAGCAGTAGTAGTAGTAGTAACAATGGTAGTAATAGCAGCAGTAGTAATAGTAGCAGCAGTAGTGGTAGTAGCAGCAGCAGCAGTAGTAATAGTAGCAGCAGTAGTGGTAGTAGCAGCAGCAGCAGTAGTAATAGTAGCAGCAGTAGTGGTAGTAGCAGCAGCAGCAGTAGTGGTAGTAGCAGCAGCAGCAGTAGTAATAGTAGCAGCAGCAGCAGTAGTGGTAGTAGTTTAATAGTGGTTCGTCTGCACAGATTGAGGGCGTTCACTTTGTGGTTTTTTTGATGAGACGTGAGAACTGAAATCTCACCACAAACTTAAGTCTGAGAGTACAGACTGTGATACAGACTGTGATACAGACTGTGATTCAGACTGTGATACTGACTGTGATACTGACTGTGATACTGACTGTGATACAGACTGTGATACAGAGTGTGATACAGACTGTGATACAGACTGTGATACTGACTGTGATACAGACTGTGATACTGACTGTGATACTGACTGTGATACTGACTGTGATACTGACTGTGATACAGACTGATACTGACTGATACTGACTGTGATACAGACTGTGATACAGAGTGTGATACAGACTGTGATACAGACTGTGATACTGACTGTGATACAGACTGTGATACAGACTGTGATACTGACTGTGATACTGACTGTGATACAGACTGTGATACAGACTGATACTGACTGTGATACTGACTGTGATACTGACTGTGATACTGACTGTGATACAGACTGTGATACAGAGTGATACAGACTGTGATACAGACTGTGATACAGACTGATACAGACTGTGATACAGACTGTGATACAGACTGTGATACAGAGTGATACAGACTGTAATACAGACTGACTGTGATACAGACTGTGATACTGACTGTGAAACTGACTGTGATACTGACTGTGATACTGACTGATACTGACTGTGATACAGACTGTGATACTGACTGTGATACAGACTGTGATACTGACTGTGATACTGACTGTGATACTGACTGTGATACAGACTGTGATACAGACTGTGATACTGACTGTGATACTGACTGTGATACAGACTGTGATACAGACTGTGATTCAGACTGATACAGACTGTGATACTGACTGTGATACAGACTGTGATACAGACTGATACAGACTGTGATACTGACTGTGTTACAGACTGTGATACAGAGTGATACAGACTGTAATACAGACTGACTGTGATACAGACTGTGATACAGACTGTGATACTGACTGTGATACTGACTGATACTGACTGTGATACAGACTGTGATACTGACTGTGATACTGACTGTGATACTGACTGATACAGACTGTGATACAGACTGATACTGACTGTGATACTGACTGTGATACAGACTGTGATACAGACTGTGATACTGACTGTGATACTGACTGTGATACTGACTGTGATACTGACTGTGATACAGACTGTGATACAGACTGTGATACAGACTGATACTGACTGTGATACTGACTGTGATACTGACTGTGATACAGACTGTGATACAGACTGTGATACAGACTGTGATACAGAGTGATACAGACTGACTGTGATACAGACTGTGATACTGACTGTGATACTGACTGTGATACTGACTGTGATACTGACTGTGATACTGACTGATACAGACTGTGATACAGACTGATACTGACTGTGATACAGACTGATACTGACTGTGATACTGACTGTGATACAGACTGTGATACAGACTGTGATACAGACTGTGATACTGACTGTGATACAGACTGTGATACAGACTGATACAGACTGTGATAAAGACTGTGATACTGACTGTGATACTGACTGTGATACTGACTGTGATACAGACTGATACTGACTGTGATACAGACTGTGATACTGACTGTGATACAGACTGTGATACTGACTGTGATACTGACTGATACAGACTGTGATACAGACTGATACTGACTGATACTGACTGTGATACTGACTGTGATACAGACTGTGATACTGACTGTGATACAGAGTGATACAGACTGACTGTGATACAGAGTGATACAGACTGACTGTGATACACACTGTGATACAGACTGTGATACTGACTGATACAGACTGTGATACAGACTGACTGTGATACTGACTGTGATACTGACTGTGATACTGACTGTGATACAGACTGTGATACAGACTGTGATACTGACTGTGATACTGACTGTGATACAGAGTGTGATACAGAGTGTGATACTGACTGATACAGACTGACTGTGATACAGACTGACTGTGATACTGACTGATACAGACTGTGATATTGACTGATACAGACTGTGATACAGACTGATACTGACTGTGATACAGACTATGATACTGACTGATACAGACTGATACTGACTGTGATACAGACTGTGATACTGACTGTGATACAGACTGTGATACAGACTGTGATACAGACTGTGATACAGACTGTGATACAGACTGTGATACAGACTGTGATACAGACTGTGATACAGACTGTGATACTGACTGTGATACTGACTGTGATACTGACTGTGATACAGACTGTGATACAGACTGTGATACAGACTGTGATACTGACTGTGATACTGACTGTGATACTGACTGTGATACAGACTGTGATACAGACTGTGATACAGACTGTGATACAGACTGTGATACAGACTGTGATACTGACTGTGATACAGACTGTGATACAGACTGATACAGACTGTGTCTCTCTTTCAGACAGTGTGCTGGAGGCTGTCGGTCGTGGGCTGAAGATAGAACTGAAAATAAAAGTTCAACTGGAGCTGAAGGACAAAGTGGAGACTTGGGTTCTGGTGTGTAACCCTTTCATCAGAGCCGAAATGTTTCTTAAAGGAGCAGTATGTAAAAATCTGGCCATAAGTGGTACTGCACTTTTCCTGACTCAGGTTGCCAGATAAGCAGACGAATCCAGCTGGGACGACCATAATAACTGAATAAAGAGTTGTATCAACAACAAATCTATAATGATTTAAGAATCATAACAAGACCTTTTTATTTCTCCGGCCACATGGCAACATGGCATCTCCCATTTCCAGGGAGATGAATTTGACGTGGTGAATCCTGTCAACCCAGACCAGAGACTTTCTGGTGAAACGGTAGAGGGCGGGACATCGAAATGAACACAATAGCAAGATTTAGGAGCTTTAAAACTAATTTTGAAATTCTAATAAATTGGCTGAACTTCTGTTACCAGTAAAGGAAGTATTCAAAATGAGAATGGTTATTTAATTTACATATTGATGCTTTAAGTCTTTTGAAGTCTTTTAAAATCACTGTGCAAGAAAGAGACCAGCGAGAGACTAGAAACAAGAGAGACCAGAGAGAGAGACCAGAGAGAGAGACCAGAGAGAGAGACCAGAGAGAGGGACCAGAGAGAGAGACCAGAGAGAGGGACCAGAGAGAGGGACCAGAGAGAGAGACCAGAGAGAGAGACCAGAGAGAGAGACCAGAGAGAGGGACCAGAGAGAGAGACCAGAAAGAGGGACCAGAGAGAGGGACCAGAGAGAGAGACCAGAGAGAGGGACCAGAGAGAGAGACCAGAGAGAGAGACCAGAGAGAGAGACCAGAATTAGATATTCTTTCCACATTTTTCTCAAGCTTCACTCACCCAAACAGGGCTCCACGGCTTGTTACGCTGCAGTATAGTCCCATGTGTGATTAGTGTGAGTCTGGTCCAGTTTTGTTTACATTGTCTCCTCTGATTTCAGGTCTTGGCTCCACACCGGCTCTTCCTTCTCTCGGCTCGGGTCCCGTCTAAGGTCTGTGTTCACAAATATATAATCTATGGATCAATGATCGAAACTATGAATAAACATGTTTAATGGAATAAGAGACGACTGGGATGAGCATCACTCCCAAAAACCTGTTATGGACTTACTGTTGGTCTTTGTCCTTGTTCTCTCTCTCTCGCTCTCTCGCTCTCTCTCTCTCTCTCTTGCTCTCCCAATCTGGCCTCTTTCCCTAGTCTCTCTCTCTGGTCTTTCTCTGGTCTCTCTGGGCCTCTCTCTGGTCTTGTTCTGGTCTCTCTCTCTTGGCTTTCTCAAGTCTCTCTCTTTGGTCTCTTACCGGTCTCACTCTCTGGTCTCTCTCTGGTCTCTCTCTGGTCTCTCTCTGGTCCCTTTCTGGTCCCTCTCTGGTTGTGGAAGTGTAGAGATTTCATAACACTCTGAAGCAACTTTTGTTAAAGTTAAACTCATCATTCTATCAATGTGCAGAAGCCTGTACTTTCCCACGTCATGTTTTACTATCTCTGCTGGCACTGTGGCAGCTGCTGATTGGAGGTCTCTGTTTCTCCTGAGTTTATCACAACTTGCCGTTGTAACATCCCTTGTTCGTGTTGTTCGTGCTTTCTCTACCATCGACAATAAAACATATCTTCTGTCTGAATTAAAGACGCAATCCCAGACTTTGTCATCTTCTTCAGGTGGTGGAGGATGTGGGCATTGTCTGTAACATCTAGAGAACAGAAGACTATTTTTTTTTACACAAAAATGTGGGGGGGTTTTAAGACAAAACTGAAAAACCTCAAGAGAATGCATCTGGATCAGCACATGGACAATCTGCACAGCCCCTGATTCCAGTCAGGCTGTGAGCTGCTGAGACATGGACAACACCATCGTCCTCTTTTGCATGGACATCATTTGGAACAATTGGATTACACAATTTGGACATAATTTGGAACAATCTGGATTTCTGAATTTGGACATAATTTGGACTGAATTGAATTGCTGTGTCTGGACACTAAAGCTGAAACGTGTGATTGAAAGACACGTCACAGAAGAATTCATGTCTCGACACGAGAAATGCAGCCTGAGGAGTCAACACGGAGAAGTGGGAGAGACTGTTTTCAAAGCAATATCTGAGAACCATCGACTGATGAAGTTTGGTATTTTACTGAAGATTGTTGATGAGTTTTATGAAAGATCTGAACATGTTTTATGAGTTTTCTGAGTTGTTTGAAGTATTCCGAGTTCTGAGTTTTTGAAGTACCGAGTGAAGTACTAAGTATTCTGAGTTTTTGAAGTATTGAGTTATGATGTTATGTTGCTGTTTATCGATCATGATGGTCACACGTGAATGTGTGACCAGAGGGGGGAATGTGAGATTTCATAACACTTTGAAGAAACTTTTGTTAAAGTTAAACTCATCATTCTATCAATGTGTAGAAGCCTGTACTTTTCCACTACTTGTTTTATCTATCTGAAGGCCAAGCTACAAGCACATTGTGGCAGCTGCTGATTGGAGGTCTCTGTTTCTCCTGAGTATATTACCACTTGCTGTCTTCAACATCCTTTGTTCGTGTTGTTCGTGCTGTCTCTACCATCGACAATAAAACATGTCTTCTGTCTGAATTAAAGACACGATCCCAGACTTTGTCATCTTCTTCAGAAGTTGTGGAAGGGTTCACATAATTTGATTACTGGGTGGTTAGCGCTTGTGCCTCACAGAAAGAAGGTCGGGTTTCATTCCACCTCCAGGTTTTTCTGTGTGGACTTTGAATGTTCTCCCTGTGTCTGCATAAGTTTTCTCCATGTGCTCCGGTTTCCCTTACCTGTACCATAGGTCTGAATGTGATAAGTGAGTGATGATGACCTGAAGCTTCGGTGATCCAATGTTTTGCTTCTGTCATCACCATTTTTTATATGTATGTTTATTTGGATGGAACAGAGTGAAGCAGGACTGGTGGAAACAGGGCTATAATGAAGGAGTTTGAAGACAGAGTATTTGGACAGAGGTGACGGGGGTTCATGGTTCTGGGACATGGAGCCACATCTGCCCCTGAGTCCCGGTTTGGTCCCTTGTCTCTGTGTGTCACCCGATCTGCTTTTCCCAGAATGCACCGAGGCTCAGACTGTGGGAAACTGCAGCTCTTTCCTGTTTGTCACATTATAACCTTTACTCTGGAGTCTGGGAACTTCATTGGGATCAGAGAGAGAAGCCTCTATTGCCGCAAATCTTAATGCATTTGTCTAAAGATGAGGGACCTAAGATTATCTGCATAAATAACATGTACTTTGTCTGAAAGAAAAAGTCTTAAAAGTCAAATGTTGTGAACAACTTTTTGCTAAGCTCAAGACCATGACCATGACCAAGTCCACGACACAGACCACGACCAAGATCAAAGCCCAAGCCCAGGACCAAGAACATGAAGCAAACTGTTTATTTGTTTATTTAATATGGACATAACAATAACATTGGACAAACCAGATGCATTGCTGTAAGTGTTATAGCACAGGTGCTAAGTTTACAGAGCAGAAGATAAAAATACATTTTAAAGAATTTCAATATAATGAGAACAACTCTCACGTGTGAACAACTCTGTCTGGATCATAACCACTGTTTCATATGAATAGTTCAGTTGTCAGGTTTTGATCCACGTTTCACACGGCACCATAAACGTGAAGCAGTGTGGCGAGTGTGAAACGAGAAAAGTGAGGAATGTAACAACTGCAGCAGAAGAACAGACAGGAGCCCCGCCCCCTCTGTCCCAATGCTGGGTTTGCAAACTCCTTACACCAGGGGTCTCCAAACTGTAGCTCGGGAGCCACCAGTAGCTTGCCACTCCTTCCAGGTAGCTCGCCAAAGGATTTAGAAATTAACAAATCAAATAATAGACAAACTATTTCAGAATGCATTATTCATTCTTATTATTTATGATTGTAAATGCAAACACAAGTATTGAATACTTGATGATAAATAATGACGACATCAAATATCAGGCTCGCTCTCATCCATATCATCACCTCAATATTACCAAGGAGTCCCTGGAGTTCTCTGGGTGAAAAAGGTTGGAGACACCTGCCTTACACTGTGACGTCATGACCCTTATCATTCATATTCACATGGCTGAACCCTCTTTCTTTGCATAATAGACAACTAGATAGATACTTTATTGATCCCTGGAGGAGAATCTCAGATGTCCAGCAGCCAAAACACACCCATCTATACAAACAAATAAATAGTTCTAAAAGTTAGTAACTATAGTAAGAAATCTCAGCAGCAGAGGGCGTGTAGCTGCTGGGGATTTTCTCTGCTCTGATAGTGGCTTTTTCTGGCTTTAAATTTTACACTGTTTCAGAGCTACTTCGGACTTGCTGCCGTTTCCAATGCATTCAAAAGAAACATGCTAATGACTAGGATCAAAGAACTAAAACTATAACTATCTAATAATGACGTTCATCTGTCCTCCAGGTGGAACAGTGGTTCAGTCTATTGGATCTGCAGGAACTGAGTAGCACCACACCCACACAGGTAACTCCACCCACTGACCATGTACAGACACGCCCACACAGGTAACTCCACCCACTGACCATGTACAGACACGGCCACACCGGTAACTGCCAACTGACCTCGCACAGACACACCCAGACAGCAGCTATTTATTGCTGATTTTATCTTATTTTGGTATTTTGTCTTTTTAGATAGTCTATGGGCCCTTACTGCCCCCTGGTGTCAGTGCAGTGTTGTGACACTCTCTCTCTGGCCTTACTGGTCCCCCTCTCTCTTTCTCTGATTTCTCACTAGTCTCCCTCTCAGATCTCTTTCTGGTCTCAATCTCTGGTCTCTCTCTGGTTATTCTGTCTGGTCCCCCTTTGGTCTTTCAGTATGATCTCCTGCTGGTCTTCCTCTGATCTCTCTCTGGTCCCTTTCACTGGTCCCTCTCTCTATTCTCTTTCTCTCTGGTCCCTCTCTCCAGTCGCTCGCTTTCTCTGTCTCCCCCTGGTGGTAGTGTGGTGTAACAACCCTTTCTCTGTCTCCCCCTGGTGGTAGTGTTGTGTAACAACCCTTTCTCTGTCTCCCCCTGGTGGTAGCTCTCCCTGGATTTTGACAGGTCGCGCTGGGGTCTTCGTTCAGTGGGAGATGTGGATGATGTCATCGCGCACATCGGCTTCGCTCTGCGGAGGATCTGTCCCGCCGCCGCTCCTGCGTGAGTCGTTTTGCTCCAGGGCACAAAAACACAACTGGTCTAAAGCCGGGGCGCCCAAACTTTATTCAACCGGAAATGAGTGAGATTCACACGACAGAGGGAGAGTAACTCACACCGCCACCACAAAGTCGCACCGTTTTTGCATTTTGGAAGTCTGGTTACTAAAAATCATGCACACAGCTATAATCCTGGTTTAGTCCGGGTCTAGTCCTGGAATAGCTCTGGTGTAGTCCTGGTTTATAAAAGCGGTTATAAAAATGATATTAACATGAAACTGATCTAAAGTGATTTTTTTTCACTGAATATACATAATATTGTTCTTCTATGAATGTAATCAATGTTCAGGTCCAGGTAAAGGACGTATTCTACGTGTGGTTCTACCGGAAGCGAGTGTGTGAGTATATGTGTGTGTGTGTGTGTTTGCGGTTAGAGATTTCAGAAGATAAATAGTTGAGAACGACAAGACAGCTTTCACAAAATCCTGCTTTGTGTTGCTTTAAAGCTGCTTTAGTGAACACTGAGGTCTGTGAGGATTCCGGCTGCAGTACCGCGGGTGGCCTCTAGTCCATGTGGCTTTAGGCTGCAGTACCGCGGGTGGCCTCTAGTCCATGTGGAGATGGGTTTAGGCAGTAATGCCCTCCAGACACTATATCATATCCATGTCTGTCCCCCTGCTCTAAAGCAACTCTCTTCTTATGTGTCTCGTAGGAAGCTGTTTAAAAAGTTGATCCTGAAGCCGGTGGAGAGGATGGCGCCCCTGCTGGAGAGATGGGGAATTGCACAGGAGCTGGGACCTTGTGGTCAGAAAACTTAACTCATGTAGAAGTTTGTCATGACAAATACTACTGTATCGACCGTTCAGTATGTGACGGATGAAGCAGTACATGCGTAGGCTCAAAAAGTTCTTCGTTTGTGACGTACTTTGAGCCACAGTCATTGTTATGACTCATTATTGCCTCATTTTTATATTTTATTTTTTTCTCCTCATTACTTTGATGTTCTACTTGGCGTTTGTTGTTTGAATAATAATGTTTACCTCAATACTCTCTGTTTTTCCCCTTTATTTTCCACTCTTAAGTTGTCTTTTTCATCTATTTTTATTATAATGTATTCTTTTAGATCATTGTATACATGTATGTTATTTTACTGTTACAGAATTGTCATTGTTTTATTTTATTTGTATGATGCATTTTATACTTAATATGTGCAGCCCTTAGTGATAAAATGTGCCATATAAATAAAGTGGCCATACCTGCACGCAAAAGCCTGATCCTGTCAAATCTCTGAAGTTAAACAGTGCAGGGCCCAGTCAGCATAGTGATGGGGGACCTCTGAAAACACCAGGACCCACAGCTGCAGCTGTACAGTGCTAAACTGTGGTTGTGTCCTTAAGCATGACACTTCACCCACATTAGACTGAGTCTGGTGTGTGCGTGGATGGTTGTTGGTGGTGGTTAGTGTCAGCTGTGGCTAGAGTAGTAGATTCTCGCCACTGTGTATGGAGTGAATAATGACATGACATTTTTGAGCGTCCAGAAAATCTCTGAATAAAACCCATTATTGTTATTAGACAAAGTTGAGCGGGTACGAGACTGTGTCACTGAGTGGTTAGCACTCTCATTTCTCTGTGAAAGAGAAGGTCTAGGTTTCCTCGAAGTGCTTCGGTTTCCCCTACCACTAAAACGTATGATTGGTAAAATCCTTCAGCTCTGGTCCTGAAGAGCATCAACATCAGGAGTTGGCCCCCTGTTGCCATGGCAACTACTGCTCCTTATTTTGGCTCTAGTGGAGTATGGGTCAAATGCGAACATTTCCCAACAGGAACAATAAAGTATATATAAATAAATAAAACAATTCTGAAAACACATTTCCATCTCATTCTGCATCATTATCTGAGTCACAAACGTCTGAGGTTCAAACACCGTTTGAACTAATTCTATCTAATGTATTAAATACAATCATCCATTCTGGAATAAATGATCACAGCCCGAAGGTCCGTAGGAGGATCTAATCTGTCCACAATTATGATGATAGTGATGATGATTTTGATAGTGACGAAGATGATGATGTTGATAGTGACGATGATGTTGTTGTTGATGTTAGTGATGATGATGATGTTGATGTTAGTGATGATGATGATGATGATAGATGGATGGATGGATGGATAGATAGATAGATGGATGGATAGATCCAGTAGCAGCAAAAGCACATTTATCCACACTTGAACTATGAATCCTCTCTGCTCTGGTCTGGACCAGTGTAAAACCATGAACATTGTACTGCAGCAACATCTCAGGCAGAAAAAAGCAAGAAAAACAAGAACTGTAAAACACAAAAACAATTGTTTCAGAGCTACTTAGGACTTGCTGCCGTTTCCAGCGGATTCAAAAGTAGATAGTGACGATGATGATAGTGATGATAGTGATGATAGTGACGATGATGATGATGATGATAGTGATGATAGTGACGATGATGATGATAGTGACGATGACGATGATAGTCACGATGATGATGATGATAGTGACGATGATGGTGATAGTGACGATGACGATGATAGTGACGATGATGATAGTGATGATGATAGTGACGATGGCGATGATGATGATAGTGACGATGATGATGATGATAGTGACGATGATGATGATAGTGACAATGACGATGATGATAGTGACGATGATGATGATAGTGATGATGATAGTGACGATGATAGTGACGATGATGATGATGATAGTGACGATGATAGTGACGATGACGATGAAAGTAACTGATGATGATGATAGTGACGATGATGATGATGATAGTGACGATGATGATGATGATAGTGACGATGAGGTTGATGATAGTGACGATGATGATGATGATAGTGACGATGACGATGATAATGACGATGACGATGATAGTGACGATGACGATGATAGTGACGATGACGATGATAGTGACGATGACGATGATAGTGACGATGACGATGAGAGTGACTGTTATCATGAAACCAAACCAAAAGATATGAAAGAGGACATTTAATGACACTGAATTATAACAAGATCCATACAGACATAACAGAAAATGTCATACCCCAAGGAGAGATGGTTGGAGAGAGAGAGAGAACCCTGGAGGCTCTGAGCCTCAGCATTAGGCTGCTACATGTTGCTTAGAGAGTTGACACCGACCAAGAACCCAAACTAGTCCATCTCAGCTCTCTATATACTGGCTATGAAGTTACTCTCAGGTTCCACTGGATTGGTCAGAGGGTCAGCCAGGAGCAAGCCAGCCCCCGTGGAGGGGGGACATGGATATCAGATAAGGGGGAAAATCCATACCAACAATGACGATGAAGATGATAGTGACGATGACAATGATAGTGACGATGACAATGATAGTGACGATGACAATGATAGTGACGATGACAATGATAGTGACGATGAAGATGATAGTGACGATGACAATGATTGTGACGATGACAATGATAGTGACGATGACAATGATAGTGACGATGACGATGATAGTGACGATGACGATGATAGTGACGATGATGATGAGAGTGCCCATGATGACAGTGACGAGTACGATGATAGTGACGATGACAATGATTGTGACGATGACAATGATTGTGACGATGACAATGATTGTGACGATGACAATGATTGTGACGATGACAATGATTGTGACGATGACAATGATTGTGACGATGACAATGATTGTGACGATGACAATGATTGTGACGATGACAATGATTGTGATGATGACAATGATTGTGACGATGACGATGATAGTGACGAGGACGATGATAGTGACGATGACGATTATAGTGACGATGACGATTATAGTGACAATGACGATGATAGTGACGATGATGATGATAGTGACGATGACGATTATAGTAATGATGATGATGAGAGTGCCCATGATGATAGTGACGATGATGAGAGTGACGATGATGATAATTGTGTTAATTGTGTGTTTTGTGCGTCTCAGGGGGCTTTTCTCTCCAGTACCGCTGTGTGTGTGACCACATGGGGGCGCCGTACAGGGATGAGGTGCAGTGGGTGAGTGTCTCTGTCGTCGTGTCTCACACAGGACTCAGTCTACAGCCGTCTTTCTCTGCAGGACGTGGACACCATCTATTTGACTCAGGACACCAAGGAGCTCAGCCTGCACGACTTCATCCATCTGGATAACAAGTGAGTGGTCTCTCTCTCTCTGGTCTCTCTCTGGTCAGTCTGTGGTCTCTCACTGGTGTCTCTCTCTTGAGTCTATCTCTTCCGCGAGAGAGATCTGTTCTTGGATTTTATCGTATTTGTGTTATTTCTTACAGCTCAGTATTTTATAGAAATCTAATAATAGTCATAATGTTGAAAATATATGAATATGTATAGATTATGACACGTCGAAAACTAGAATGTCATTGTTGTTTTCACCGTGCCTTTTACTCAAAGAAATATTCATTTGTAAAAAACAAATCTCGCTCTCTTCTCTCCCTTCTTTTCTCTCCCCTCTCCTCTCCTCCTTGTGTGCAGAGACCTGGTTCCCATCATTGCAGCACTCGAATACAACCAGTGGTTCAACAAGTTATCCATCAAAGATTACAAACTGGTAAAACATACACACACACACACACAAGCACAATACAATACAATAGAATTTATTCTTGTATAGCCCTAGGTCACAACAGAAGTCATCTCAGAGGACTTAACAAAACCATTGAAATCACCAACACAGATCAGAGATCAGTTAAAACACATGAAAAATATAAAGCACACACAGGAGAAAATGTCCATACATGTTGTAGAATGCTAAAGTGTCCTGATCATCACCAATTCTTTCTGTTGGACACTAACTGTCCAACAAGACCCTCCTGCCTCGACAAGGAAAAACTCTTAAAAAACCCAGTGGGAAAAAGTGAGAAACCTTGGGGAGAACTAGGGAAACCCACAAGGAGGGAGACCCATATGAGAAAGGGATCCGCTCCTCCGGACGGACAGGCTAATGATCCAGGACCTAAGCTAGCTACAGAACGTGGACCAGTGGCCGCTGAACGTGGACAGGTCCGGTGCAGGACTGAAGCACTCCCAGGCGGGTCGGGCGGGGCAGTCCGCAGGTGTAGATGGAGGAGGCCAGGCTCAGAGATCCCATCGCCGTGCCATGAAACAGACAATGGGACAACGGGTGAATAGCAATGAACAAACTACAGTCAAAATCCTAATAATGCTAAACAGATAAAGTAGGAAGGAGGAGAGGATAGTGCTCAAGTGACCATACTTCTCCAGCAAACTGACTCCCTATGCAGCTTGACTGACAGTCTGAGGAGTTTAGCCTTCCCTGAGTCTTACCTTCCTAACCATATGCTAAACTAAAGAGGACTGTTTTAAACCTAGCCTTGAATAAAGAGAGCATATCTGGAAGGAGGTGAGACAGCTCCCACACACACATACAGTACAGACCAAAAGTTTGGACACACTTTCTCATTCAATGAGTGTCCTTTCTTTTCATGACTATTGACTGTAGATTCACACCCAGGCTGTGTGGGCTATTTGACCAACAAGGAGAGTGTTGGTGCTGGGCCAGATGACCTGGCCTTAACAGTCACCAGACCTGAACCCAATCCAGAGGGTTTTGGGGTGAGATGGACCACAGAGTGAAGGCGAAGGGGCCAACAAGTGCTAAGCATCTCTGGGAACTCCTTCAAGACTGTTGGAAGACCATTTCAGGTCACTACCGCTTGAAGCTCATCAAGAGTATGCCAAAAGTGTGTGAAGCAGTAATCAGAGCAAAAGGTGCGTGCGTAGGTTCGCACCTTATGTAGGTTCTTCAAAGTAATTTCGTTATACGTACATAATTCCACATGAGTTAATTCATAGTTTTGAGGCCTTCAGTGTGAATCTACAATTTTCATAATCATGAAAATAAACTCTTTGAATGAGAAGGTTTGTCCAAACTTTTGGTCTGTACTGTACACACGTAAACACACACACACTGATCACACACAGTAGTTTTGCGTTGTAATTGTGATGGTCTTCTCAGTTTTTTCAGTGACAGTTTGTGTATGTGTGTACCTGTGTGTGTGTGTGTGTGTCTGTGTGTGTGTGCGTGCCTGTGCGTGTGTGTGTGTGTGTCTCTGCGTGTGTGTTCTTCCAGCCGTCAGACGTGTGTGATCAGATCCTGCGGGTGGTCTCTCGCTCCAGTCGCCTCGAGGAGCTGCTGTTGGATAACACCGCTCTCCGCAGGTCTTAAACGTGACTGCAGATTTACTAAGCTGGGTTTCGTAAATTTCAACCCACAAGAACTCAATACAATCCATATCACTTGTGCCTTGCTCCGTAACAGTTTGGACTGGTCTGGTCTAGGTCTAGGTCTGGGTCTGGATCTGGGTCTGGGTCTGGGTCTGGTTTAGGTGTGGGTTTGGTGTGAGTTAAAAAGTTACTCACAGGGCTCATTCTCATATAAAATATTTATTTTATACTAAATAAACTATATTATACTAAATAAACTATATTATACTAAATACACTAAATAAACTATATTATACTAAATACACTAAATAAACTATATTATACTAAATTAAAATATGTATTTTATATGAGTTTGATTGATGTTCATTTTTGGATATTTTTATTGTATTCTTTAATTCGGATAAACTACATGTTATTTATGGGACTGAAGTTACGTACCCAAGCTTTAAACATGTGTTATTTATGAGACTAACCTTAACTGCAGTATGTGTGTGTTGTGTCCACAGTGACTTTGCAGTGAAGTTTGCGGCGGCTCTGTCTCAGAATCCTGCGTCTGCTTTGCACTCTCTCACTCTGAGCAGCAACTCCCTGGAGGACAAAGGTCTGTAACAACAAGCTACACACGGAGCAGATCCTGCTTACTGTTTAAGGCCAAAGGTTCAATCAGAATCAGAATTCTCTTTATTGCCATTGTGAGTAACAGGAAGTAACAAACTGGGAAATTTCTTTGGCTCAAACAAGTTATAGAAGTAAAAATAGAAAAGACATGCATAAAACAAGACACAACATCTACCTAACAATACATTACATTACATAGCATTCTTCCCACTACAATACAATTCTTCCCCTTTATCCGTTGCCTAAAGTCTCTAGTTTCCCTCCATACATGCCTCCCGCTCAACTGGGGAATCTTGAGGTGTTCCCAGGCCAGCCGAGAGACACAGTCCGTCCAGCGTGTCCCGGGTCTTCCGCTGGTCTCCTCCCAGTGGAACGTGCCAGACAGATGCCTGAGTCACCTCGGGCATCAGCGGCTCTATTCCTCCCGTGGGAATGAGCTCCTCTCCCTATCTATAACGGAGAACCCAGCCATTCAGAAGAGCAAACTTGACTTACATGTCAAAAAAACTCAGGCTCAGTAACTCATGGTTTCCATAAAGTGAAATGAAACCTGCTGAAGCACCAGTGATATTATAAACACTCACAGATTTGTAATAATAATAATAATAATAATGCATCGGTTTTATATAGCGCTTTTTTGGACACTCAAAGACGCTTCACATGTGTCATTATTCATTCATTCCCTACACGGTGGTGATAAACTACTACTGTAGCCACAGCTGCCCTGGGGCACACTGACAGAAGCGAGGCAACCAGTATGTGCCATCGGCCCCTCCGACCACCACCAACCATTCATACACACACCAGACTCATTCTAGGCAATGGGGGTGAAGTGTCTTGCCTAAGGACACAACGGCAGTTTGGCACTTTACAGCCGCAGCCGCCCCACTGTGGCTGGTGTTCCCAGAGGTTAAGTGTCTTGCCAAGGACACAACGACAGTAGTCAGTGGGAGTCGATGGTGAAAGTCTTGAGCGGGGCTTGAACCCACGACCTTCTGGCTCAAAGGCCAACGCTCTACCAACTGAGCTACTGCCGCCCACTGGCCTTTAGCAGATTTGTGTATTAACCTCTCTCTCTTCTCTCTCCCTCTCTCTCTCACTCCCTCTCCCCCTTGCTTGCTCCCACTGTCCCTCTCTGTCTTCCTCTCTCTCCTTCTCTCTCTCACTCTCTCTCCCTCTCTCAGGTGTCTCCGCTCTCAGCTCACAGTTGGCCAAACTTCCTCTGGGTCTACGACGTCTGAATCTGTCCAGAACGGGGCTCTCTGCTAAAGGCCAGTCCTCCTACAGTCCTCAGTCCAGTCCTCAGTCCTCAGACCTGTCCACAGTCCTGTCCACAGTCCTGCCCTGAAGCCTCAGTCCTCAGTCTTCAGTCCAGTCCTCAGAGCAGTTCTCAGTTCTCAGACCAGTTCTCATTCCACAATCCTGTCCTCAGACCAGTCCTCAGTCCTCAGACCAGTCCTTAGTCCTGTCCTTCTACAGTCCTCACCTCGAGGAGCTCCTGTCCACTGCTTTTGCCCTTTTCACTTCCAGCACTGGGGTTACGTCTTCCAAACTATTGTCTCTCATCTTTTAAGAGGAGAGAGGAGAGGAGAGAGAGGAGAGAGAGGCGGGAGAGGAGGAAGAGGAGGGGGAGGAGGAGGAGGGAGAGGAGAAGTATTATATCACAATACAGTATATCGACACCACTATCAACAATATGCCTTTACTTGGATCATTACAATGCAGGGTTCGTCTACAGATATTAGTGAATGCAAATGAGATGTTAGTACAGTCTCATTATAGTCTTTAGAACATTACGTTAGGACACTTCCACTAGCTTATAGACATTAGCATTACGACAAAACAATTATCAGGAGGATTCTTGTGGGGTCATTTTCTCCTAATTTTACTGGAACAAACACGCTCTAAGTGTGTATCCACAGAGTGGAGCAGATACCGGGACAGAAGGGACAGGGCTTTGCCTGAGAAAGGTGCCCCTCAAGGCAGAGATTTGACTTTGTTTGTGTGTATGTGTGTGTCTCTGTGTCTGTACATGTGTTTTGCATACATCAGGAGTGAACAGTGTGTGTCAGGCTCTGGGCTCGAACCCTGTGATCTCTTCCAGTCTGAAGCAATTGGATTTATCTGGAAACTCTCTGAGAGGAGACGACATGCAGGTAAACCAGAGACCAGAGAGAGAGGACAGAGAGAGAGAGACTAGAGAGAAACAAACCAAAGAAGATGTGGAACTTTGAGACTTTTTCTTATTTTTATGAGATTTGTTTTGAGAATTACAGAGAAAACTAAGACTAGAATTTGTGTGAAACGCAAACTGCTGAGGTGCTAGAGTGACTACCTAAATGATCTGATGAGAGTTTGAAGCAGTCAATGAGCCCAGACAGTTCATAAATGTAGAATGATTGATTTCGCTCATATGTTTGTTTCCAGCAACTCCTGGGGTTCCTGTCTCAGTCCAACTCTTTGCAGACTCTGGACTTGTCTCACTGTGACGGCTCTGTGGAACAGGTCTGACTCTCACTTCTGCTGGTATAGGTCACAAGTCAGAGATCACAGGTCAGGGATAGAAGAAAGGTATTTATTTATCCATCATATTTCACACGTGGACTGCAGCTCAATGCACCAATAAACTTACCCTCTTATGTTCTCATTGGGACGGGAACTAAAAGAGTAGAGATAGACTCTAAACGCACTTTATTTATCCCCGGAGGGAACTTTGTCCTGGAGCCAGGACCCACTTCTTGTCCCCTGGATCCACTTCCCACCCCTCTGATCAAAGCCAATGCCTTTGCAATAAGCAAAATATACTTAACAAATTCCGTGAGAAAACAACTTACTTTCTGTCTCCAACTTTTTCAATGTGGAAATGATACATCTATATCTAAAACTGTGCAGACTGTGTACTTACTAGAGGGTGATTCGAAGTAAATAAAGCAGGTGCAGAGGAAGAATGGACTGAGCGATCCGAAATTGACTCAAAGATTGAGTCTATGGGAGGTCATTATTGTACGTCCAGAAGTGGAACCTACATTGACGTCGTATAGACGTGAAAAAATGGTCCTCGTCTCGACCGACGCGTCTGAAATGTAATCTACAAGTGAGCTTCGGATGTTCATTGGTTCTGTTAAGAATATAACATAATTACCAATATTGAGAGTGGTGTAGGGGATAAGTGACGGACCTGTAGAGGTAGCAATGGGAGTTCAAAACCCTGGAGGTTGGTAGTTGCTTTTTAAACATTTTTTTTTTTCTCTATTTGGTTAAAAACAAATCAACACTCAACATTGGATCATGTAGCTTCTAAGAATAAAACGTGTGAATTTATGTATGTTAGTGATGCTACCTATCTACTATCTCAAGTCTCCATTTGAGAAAGTAAATAAAGCAGGGCAGCGACAGAGTTACAGATCAAACGTCATATCAACGTCTGGGAGGGCATTGTTTTACGTCCAGATGCACACACAGACGTCGTTTAGACGTGGAAAACAGGTCCTCGACCGACTCACGTGTCAGGCAGTAATCTCGCACAAGTGTGCGTCGGTTGTTTAAGGGGTTGTCTATCATGTTTTTACAATGGTTTAAAGTGAATGTCTGATGGTGGTGTAGCGGTTACGTCAAGACACTGTAGTGATAATGACGCTGGTTCAAGCCCACGGCGGCGCATCTCTGACTTTTCGCTTTTTAGCGAACAATTTTTTTCTGTTTGGTTAAAGAATAATCTACAATTAACATAGGATTATGTAGTGGTTAAGAATAAAACTTGTGAACTTATGTATTTGTTGTGCTAACAATCTCAAGTTTCCAACAAGAGGGTGAGCAGGGCAGATAGGGAGGTATCAACGTCTGGGAGGGCATTGTTTTTCGTCCAAATGTGCACCTTTCAAAGACGTCGTTTAGACGTGGAAAACAGGTCATCGGCCGAACCACTCGTTAGGACGTGATCTAACAATAGTGAGCATCGGGTCTTTAGCGGGTTGGGTCTAACTTTACTACGAAGTTGCAGAGTTAGTGTCTGACTAAAGTGTAATGGTTAAATAAATGTGTGGTGCTGTGGTAACGTGGGTTCGAGCCCACGTTACTACGCTTCACCAATGTTATATGTTTGTTTCAATTTTTAGCGAACAATTTTTCTTTGTTTGGTTAAAAACTAACAAACACTCAACATAGGATTATGTAGTGGCTAATAATAAAACTTGTGAACTTATGCATTTGCATAGAATCTCAAGTGCTCACCCTTTATTTGCAAACTTGAGATTGTTAGCACAACAATAAGTTCACAAGTTTATTAGCCACTACATAATTATATGTTGAGTGTTTATTAGTTTATTGAGTGTCTATTAGAAAAATTGTTCGCTAAAAATCGAAACAAATATATAAAGTTAATAATCACACATGTGGATTCGAACTCACGTTGCCACGACGCACACATTTGCTTAACCACTACACTACCGTCAGGAACTCATCAACCGCTTCACAGCCGATACATTCTATTGCTAGATCAAGACGTAATGCGTGGGTCGGCCGATGACCTGTTTTACACGTCTAAGGGAGGTCGGGATTGGACGTCATATCCACGTCTATGCGAGTTCATTGTTTTACGTCCAGAGGCGCACCTTACACAGACCTCGTTTGGACGTGAATAAAAGGTCACGACCGACCGACGCGATATTGACGTGATCTGGAGGTTGAGTGGACGTCGGATGTTTAGTGGGTAAGGTCATGGAAAGGGTTGTTTCTGCCCAACTTCAGGACCAACTGAAACACTATAATCTTTACAAAAAACTCCAGTCAGGCTTCAGATCCCACCATAACCATAGAACCATAGAAACAGCCCTGGTCAGAGTCACCAATGACCTTATGGTGGCTTCTGACCAGGGCTTTCCATCGCTTCTCCTACTCCTGGACCTCACATCCGCATTCGACATCATAAAACATTTGATTCTCCTTCATCGCCTTCAAACAGCAATTGGTCTCTCTGGCACCGTTCTGAGATGGTTTGAGTCCAATCTCTCTGATAGAGCTGAGTATGTGACCTTGGGGGAGTCTAAATCCAAGACTCACACAGTTTCCTGTGGAGTCCCACAGGGGTCGGTTCTTGGGTCAAATATCTTTGATATCTTTATGCTCCCCCTATGGGCCACGTCATCGGCAGGAATGGAATGTCCTTCCATAGCTATGCCGATGACACCCAGCTCTCTGTGAGACTGGACCCAGCCTCTCCCTCATCCACCCGCGCTGCTCTCACCTCCTGCCTGGAGGAGATAGAGGTGTGGATGTCTCAAAACTTTCTCCAGCTGAACACCACAAAGACAGAAGCTCTCCAAATTGGCACCCCCCCACCAACTTCGTTCCCTGTCTGTAGACTGCATTCATTTCTCTGGTCATAACATCACCACCTCCTTCTGTGTTACAAACCATGGTGTCAGGTTTGACTCCCACCTCACTTTTCATCCACACATCCAATACCTCTCCAAAACAGCTTTCTTTCATTTAAGAAACATTGTCAAACTCCGCCCCTCTCTTTCCCCATGATGCTGAGAAGCTGGTCCACGCCTATATCTCGTCCAGGTTGGACAATTGTAATGACCTCCTCGTCGGGATCCTTGGCAGAAGCCTTTAAAAGCTTCAGCAGATTCAGAACAGTTCGACCACATCACCCCCGTCCTTTGTAAACTCCACTGGCTCCCCATACACTTCCGTATTGAGTATGAGATCTGTCTCCTCACTCACCAATGCATTCACAGCAACGCTCCAGAATACCTGAAAGACCTCCTCACCCTACAGTTCATATCACGGTCTCTCCGGTCCACAAACACCTACCGTCTCAGTCAGCCAATCACACGCCTTCTTTTCATGGGAGAGAGGACTTTTTCAGCCGCAGCTCCACACCTGTGGAACGCTTTTCCCCAAGACCTGCGGGCGCCACAGTCTATGAAGTGCTTCAAAAACCTTGAAAACAGAGCTATTCAGGAAGGCCTACTACTGATCTGCAGCCCACGTCTTTTAATGCATTTTAATTTTTTTCTGTATGCGTTTTTTATCTGATGTATGTTTTTAACAATGGCCGACAGTGGCTCAGTTGGTAGAGCATTGGCCTTAGAGCCTCAAGGTCGTGGTTTCGAGCCAACCACAAGACCTTCTTCACGACTCCCACTGATGTCGTTGTGTCCTTGGGCAAGACACTTAACCTCACTTTGCCTGAAGCCTCTGCTGAATAATCAAGGCTCCTGTGGACTCACCACGGAGGATCAGTGAGGGGCTGGTGCCATGTGTACTGGGTGTAGCTCTGACTGCTACCCCCCCGACCCAGAAATGGGTCGGGGGGGTTTACTGACACAAATAGTAAACATGTCTCTGTCGTCAGGAACATTTCCTATGGCCCTAAAAACAGCAGTCATAAGACCTCTCCTAAAAAAGAGCAGTCTGGATCCTGCGGGACTTCAAAATTATCGCCCCATATCGAATCTGCCATTCATTGGAAAAATTCTTGAAAAAGTGGCCTCCCAACAACTTACTGAATTTTTAACAATGAATAATTCTTTTGATATGTTCCAGTCTGGGTTTAGACCCCACCACAGCACTGAGACCGCTCTAGTGAAGGTAACAAACGACATTCGACTTCACACTGATGCAGGTAAAGTCACAGTTTTGGTCATGTTAGATCTTAGTCCCACAGGGGTCGATCCTGGGACCTCTCCTATTTAATCTCTACATGCTGCCGTTAGGTCAGTTAATACAAAGAAACAAAGTGTCCTACCACAATTACGCCGACGACACTCAGATCTATGTCTCACTGACTGCAGGAGAACATGGACCACTGGATTTGCTCCTTCACTGTATCCAACAGATCAGTGACTGGATGCAAAATAATTTCCTCCAGCTAAATGCAGACAAAACCGAAATCATTGTCTTTGGTCCCCAGAAACAAAGAGAGGGCGTCATTTGTCAACTTCAGTCTCTCTCCCTACTTCCTTCAGACAAGGTCAGAAATTTGGGGGTAATACTGGACTCAGACCTAAATTTCAATGCCACATAAAATCAATAACATCAACAGCTTTTTACCATCTGAAGAACATTGCCAAAGTTAGAAATATAGTGTCCAGGGCAGACTTGGAGATTCTTGTCCATGCATTTGTCTCCAGCAGGCTAGACTACTGCAATGGCCTGCTTACAGGTCTGTCCAAACAGACCTGTAAGCAGCTGCAGTACATCCAAAATGCAGCAGCTAGAGTCCTGACAGGAACCAGGAAGTATGACCATATTAGTCCGGTCCTCAGGTCTCTGCACTGGCTTCCTGTGGCTCAAAGAATAGATTTTAAAACAGCTCTGCTTGTGTACAAGTCTCTCCATGGCCTTGCACCAAAATACATTAGTGACATGTTGGTGTCATATGAACCAGCCCGGACTCTGAGGAGCACAGGGACTGGCCTCCTGCTGGTGCCCAGAGTGAGAACCAAACATGGGGAGGCTGCGTTTCAGATCCACGCAGCTAAGATCTGGAACAATCTCCCTGAAAATGTGAGGGAGGCGTCTACTCTGTCAATGTTCAAATCCAGGTTAAAGACTGTTCTGTTTGCCTGTGCATACAACTGAAGGATTTTATCTCCATTTCTAATGCACTGCTGTCATTTATTTATTTATTTTTTTAAATTTCTTGTGTAATTTTGAAAGTTTTAATGGTTTTATTCTTTTGTGTGATTTTAATGTTTTAATTGTGTTTTAATCTTTTGTGTGATTTTAATGTTTTAATTGTGTTTTAATCTTTTGTGTGATTTTAATGTTTTAATTGTGATTCTGGTGTTTGTTTTATGTGATGATTTGTGATGTGGACTGTGAAGCGCTTTGTGTTGCCCTGTTTATGAAAGGCGCTGTACAAATAAACTTTGATTGATTGATTGATTAAGGGGAAGAAAATGGATGGATGGAGGGGTACTTGCTGTAGCACCTTGAGATGTGCTTCGCATATGTATGGTGCGTTATAAATACAATCTATTGTTATTATCATCTCGGTGAAGGGCAAGAGAGATATCCACTCAGCTACCATACCACCTATAAAAATCTTTAAAAAGCGTTGGGTCTTTTAAAGTGTAGTTTGTAATCTCTCCAGAATTGTGTGTGTGTGTCAGCCTTGTCCTTTGTGTTGCAGATCTGCTGCTCTCTGCTTAGGGGGAATATGCAGCACCTCTCTGTCCTCAACCTGTCCAGAAGTGTTTTCTCACACAGGTCAGTGTCAGAGTGCTCCCTGCTGCTTACTGGACACACTGCAGCTCTTTCTGTGTTTGTAGAAAAAGTCTCTGTGTTTGTAGAAAGTCTAAGGAGATCTCATCTGGGTTCAAAGAGTTCTTCAGTTCAGCTCTGGCTCTGAGCTCCGTGTCTCTGTCTGAAACTCGACTGCCGCTGGACGCTCTCAAGTGAGTGTGACATCACCAGGGGTTTTCTAATCATCAATGATCCTGACCACATCCTCACTCACTTCATGAGGAAACTGCAGTGATGCTACTGGGACACTCCTCTGTCTCGGGGTCTAAAAACACCCTGTGGTCAGTGTTATATATTTAGAACAGCATAAATGACATTTATGGAGATCTATTAACGTTTATGGACATTGGTCCATCTCTACAAGAAGGGGGACCGGAGGTTGTGTTCCAATTATCGTGGGATCACACTCCTCAGCCTACCCGGTAAGGTCTACTCCAAGGTACTGGAGAGGAGGTTACGGCTGATGGTCGAATCTCGGATCCAGGAGGAGCAGTGTGGTTTTTGTCCCGGTCGCGGAACACTGGACCAGCTCTATACTCTCCATCGGATACTCGAGGGTTCATGGGAGTTCGCCCAACCTGTCCACATGTGCTTTGTGGATTTGGAGAAGGCGTTCGACTGTGTTCCCCGGGGTGTCCTTTGGGGGGTTCTCCGGGAGTACGGGGTCGGAGGTCCTCTGCTGAGGGCCATCCGATCCCTGTATGACCGGAGCCAGAGCTGTGTTCGCATTGCCGGCAGTAAGTCAGACCTGTTCCCGGTGAATGTTGGCCTCCGACAGGGCTGCCCTTTGTCACCGGTTCTGTTCACTGTATTTATGGACAGAATATCTAGGCGCAGCCAGGGGTCGGAGGGGGTCTGGTTCGGAGACCACAGGATTTCATCTCTGCTGTTTGCGGACGATGTTGTCCTGTTGGCTCCAACGAACCAGGACCTGCAGCATGCACTGGGGCGGTTTGCAGCCGAGTGTGAAGCGGCTGGGATGAGAATCAGCACCTCCAAATCCGAGGCCATGGTGCTCGACCGGAAAAAGGTGCCTTGCCCTCTGCAGGTGGGTGGAGAGGTCCTTCCTCAAGTGGAGGAGTTCAAGTATCTCGGGGTCTTGTTCACGAGTGAGGGAAGAATGGAGCGTGAGATTGACAGGCGGATCGGTGCAGCGTGTGCAGTGATGCGGTCGCTGTATCGGACCCTTGTGGTAAAGAGGGAGCTGAGCCGAAAGGCAAAGCTCTCGATTTACCGGTCAATCTTCGTTCCCTCCCTCACCTATGGTCATGAGCTTTGGGTAATGACCGAAAGAACGAGATCGCGGATACAAGCGGTCGAAATGAGCTTCCTCCGCAGAGTGGCTGGGCGCTCCCTTAGAGATAGGGTGAGGAGCTCAGTCACACGGGAGGAGCTCGGAGTAGAGCCGCTGCTTCTCCACGTCGAGAGGAACCAGTTGAGGTGGCTCGGGCATCTGTTCCGGATGCCTCCTGGAAGCCTCCCTGGGGAGGTGTTCCGGGCACGTCCCACCGGGAGGAGGCCCCGCGGAAGACCTAGGACACGCTGGAGGGACTATGTCTCTCAGCTGGCCTGGGAACGCCTTGGGGTCCCCCCGGACGAGCTGGAGGAAGTGTGTGTGGATAGGGAAGTCTGGGCGTCTCTGCTTAGACTGCTGCCCCCGCAACCCGGCAACGGATAAAGCGGAAGAAAATGGATGGATGGATGGACATTGGTCCTCTGTAGGGCTGGGATAAACGATTATTTTTTAAACGATTAATCTAGCGATTATTTTTTCGATGCATCGATTAATCTAACGATTATTTTTTTCGCTTCGATTCGATTTCGATTTGATTCGATTCTCGATTATCTCCCCATTAATTGACTAATATTGATGTATACATGTTGATTTAAATATTTTAATGAAAAAAACATGAATTCCTTCACAAAAAATATGTATTGCTTGCTCTTAAAATTAAAAAATAAGACATTCTTAGAGGTAGCATAAAACCTTAAAGCCTTGAAAACACAGCTTACTGAAAAAAGTGCATCTTATCATTCTTGAAACAAACATTTGATGCTTAGCATTCAATAAAAATATGAAAAAGTTCAGCCAAATACTTGTGTAGAGCAACTAAAAGAAAACAGTAACCAATGTAAACTTGAAGGCTTTAAGCTAAACAAAGAGTGCTTTTCCAGCAAAAACAGTGGGAGCCATCAGCCTGTCATGGCTACATAAGAGTGTAGAGTGGCCACAGGACGCGTCATCAGCCTACGTCAGCAGCTGCGGACTGCTATGAAAACATTAGCTTTGTGGTTTCACAGGCGCAGTTGACTGCTTAAACTAAACTTTGCACGAAACTTTGACTCTTAAAACCCACATGTGACAAAACGGAACCATCAACATATCGCCTCAAATTGCATTAAAAGTGACATTCGTGTCTGAATTCGTTCGTATTTTAACTTTTAAAGAAATTCACGGTCCGCCATCTTGGTTTGCTTCGGCTGCCGTGAGACGCGCATGCGCAGGTTTGCATTACATGATAAACAGCTGAGGCTGTGCATCTCTTCAAGGCAGTGTATCTCAGCGTTACACCGGCTTGCACTTCTCTAACACGGCACTCGCATTGCTACCGCTCGCGGCCATCTTTGTTTTGTGTGTGACGCACCGACGCGCATATTATACGTCGGTGTATTTTTTGCGTCGACGTCACCGATTACGTCGACGCGTTGTCCCAGCCCTAGTCCTCTGCCCCTTATGGACCGATGGCTCTATGTGTTATTGTTGCATTTCCTGTGTTTGAACTGTTTGATTCTCTGAACTGTGTTGGCAAATCATCAACTTTGTAAAGTCCTCTGCGATAACTATTGTTGTGCTTTAGGGCTATAGAAAAATAAATGTAATTGAATAAGAGACCAGCCCCCACTTGTATTCGGTTCGGCCGGATCGATTCAATGCAATGTATTTGTTGTTACTTCCTAAATAGCAGATCTGAGAATCCAACTGCCCTTAGATCATCCTTCATCAACAAGCAACCACTTAAAACCTAGTGGAAAAAAGTGGGAAACCAGGGAGGCCCATAGTGCGAGAGGGATCTGCTTCTACAAATAGACAGGCTGTAGATCCAGGACTGAAGCTGTAGATCCAAGACTGAAGCTGTAGATCCAAGACTGAAGCTGTAGATCCAAGACTGAAGCTGTAGATCCAAGACTGAAGCTGTGCGATGTAGAGGCTCCCAAAACTATACTCTAAACTATTACTACTACAATACTATTATTGTAAACATGGTCAAAGACCATAGCCTGACTCTCGCTAGACCCTTGTAGTTCCGCCATGCTCCTCCAGAGGCTTTTCACTGAACACACGGGTCTGGGATCGAGTGCATTGCAATCTCCTTCAGGAGATTGCAATGCACAAAATAATCAGGATTGCTGGTGTGATGTCGGGTTTGTCAATGTCAATGTCAAGTTTATTTATATAGCACAGGGTTTGCATCGCCTTCTTGTGCGTCTCAGCCGTCTCAGCCAAATCAAACCAAGCTAGTGGACACAAAGTCTGTGAATTAAAATAAGAACAAATTAAGACTCGGATGTCACTTTTAATGCAATTTGAGGCAAGATGTTGATGGTTCTATGTTGTTATATGTGTGTTTTAAAAGTAAAATGCTCGTGTAAAGTTTGGTTTAAGTACAGTTTAAGTGCTCATCACAACAATGCGCAACAGGGTTGCCAGGTTGGGTGGTTTCCTGCATACTTGTGTTCCAAGCGTCTTGTAGGTAATAAATAAACAGAATCATGATAGCCCAAGTTGATTACATTACGTTTTTAGCCAAAAAATCATTCTGGGGGGTTTTTTGGGGGCCATTCTCGCAGGTTTTGGGCTGGAAAATCTTGCGGGCATTTGGCAATGCTGCAACGCAGTGTGCTGAATTGTGTGCTTCGATGTGAGTGGTTGAAGGAACACGTCATTCAAGACAACAGACAAGTGGTTTATCCAATCACATACAAGGATTTTTTTTTACAAGGCCCCGCCTTCTGAAATTCATACGTACCCCCATGTGTTATTTATGAGACTAAAGTCACAGACCCCAGCTTTAGTGTGTCTGCTCTCTCTCAGGGCGCTGCTCTTGGGGCTTGGCTGTAATCCTAACCTCAGGGATGTTTCTCTGGACCTCAGCAGCTGCGACGTAAGACCTCCTCACACGCTACACCAATGCTTGAAATATTCTGTGATATTTAATCTTATTTCTCTCTCCTCTTTTTCCTCACTCCTCCTCCCCTCTCTCATTTCTATTCTCTTTCTCTCCTCGCTCCTCTCTTTTCTCTCCTCCCTCCTCTCTTTTCTCTCTGTCCTCTCTCCTACTCTCTCTCCTCTTTCCCCTCTCTGTTACCTCTCCCTGCCTTCTCTCCCCTCTCTCTCCCCTATCTCCCCTCTCTCCTCTCTCTCGTCCAACCCGTATCTCCTCTGTCTCTCCTCTTTCTCTCCTCTCTCCCCTCTCTCCTCACCCTTCTGTCTCCTCCCTTACCTCTTTCCCCCCTTCCCTCACTCTCTCCTCTCTCCCCTTTCTCCCGTCTCTCCCCTCTCCTCCCCTCAGCTGCGCTCCGCTGGTTCCCAGGTTCTGGAAGGATGCATCGCTGAGATCCCGAACATCACCAGCCTCGACATCTCTGACAATGGTTTGGACCCGATCTTCTAAGGCACATTCAGGCACAGATCAGAGAGAGAAACCAGATAGAGGGAGACCAGAGAGAGGGAGACCAGATAGAGGGAGACCAGATAGAGGGAGACCAGAAAGAGGGAGACCAGATAGAGGGAGACCAGATAGAGGGAGACCAGAGAGAGCGAGACCAGAGAGAGAGAGACCAGAGAGAGAGAGACCAGAGAGAGCGAGACCAGAGAGAGCGAGACCGAGAGAGAGAGACCAGAGAGAGAGAGACCAGAGAGAGAGACCAGAGAGAGAGACCAGAGAGAGCAAGACCAGAGAGAGCGAGACCAGAGAGAGAGAGACCAGAGCGAGAGAGACCAGAGAGAGAAAGACCAGAGAGAGAGAAATCAAATAGAGGGAGACCTAAAAGAGGGAGTCCAGGCAGAAGGAAACTAGAGAGAGGAAGGCCAGGGCGTTCACACTGAAAGCATGAAAGATATTTGAGAATAAGTAGATTTTATTTTTTAGACACAGGGGGCTTCTTCTTTCAGTGACAACGTTCATTATTATGTCTAATATGAACAAACACATCTGCTAATCTCAGCCATTCATGACAATATTATTATTTAATCTATGTATTTATTCACAATAGCTGCTCTTCTCTTCACACCTCCTGGACTTTGATAGCTTTGAACACCTGTGTTTCAGGTCTGGACCTGGACCTTGTGACGTTGCTGGTGTGGCTCTCCAAGAACCGCTCCATCCGACACCTGGCTCTGGGAAAGAACTTCAGCAACATCAAATCCAAGTAACAAACGCTGCTACATGTAATCAGAGGCCACAAGGTCAGAACTATAGCTCTGCCTCTCCACAGGAACCTGGCTCAGGTCCTGGACGGTCTGGTGCACCTCATTCAAGTGGAGGATTCGGTGAGTTTAGGTTTATACTGGAAAATTAACAGCAGAGGTCCTAGTCCTGGTCCTGGTCCTTGCCCTAGTCCTAGTCCTCTCCTGTAGAAGCTGCTGCTACTTCCACTTCTGCTGATCATGGTATTACTCATGTCAATTAAAAGTAATTTATACCTTAATTAATAACTTAACTTTAATTCTCCTCCAAATTAGTTTGACATCCCTGATCCAAACAATTGTCCAATGGTCAGACTTGGTGCAGACCTGTTCAGACCAGTTTCATTAACCTGCTCAAACCTTTTCAGACCTGGTTTCAGTCCTGGTTCAGTCCTGGTTCAGAGCTTGTACAAAGCTGGTTTGGTCCTGGTTCAGTCCAGGTTTAGTCCAGGTTTAGTCCAGGTTTAGTCCTGGTTCAGTCCTGGATCAGTCCTGGTTCAGACCTAGTTCTGGTCTCTTCCAGCCCCTGTCGTCTCTCTCTCTGGCTGACTCCAGGCTGAAGTCAGAGCTGTCTTTGGTGCTGAACGCTCTGGGCTCTAACTCGTCTGTGGTGAAGCTGGACATCAGTGGGAACTCCATGGGCGACATTGGTGCTAAGATGTTGGCCAAAGCTCTGCAGATCAACACCAAACTGAGGTGAGAGAGAGAGAGAGAGAGACTTTCGACTTGGGACAGTCTTGAAGCAGGACTTAACCAATAACACACAACAGTAAACAACAAAGACGTACAACCTTCCCTTCACTGAAGCCCTGTTTCCACCAGCTCTGCTCTACTCCACTCTATCCCAATTTTTCCAGGCTTGTTACTAAAGTGATTGGCCAGAGAATGGCTGGAAAACCAAAACGTATCCACAACAAGTGGGTAGGTTAGGATAAAGTACCACAGGGGTCTCCAACCTGTAGCTTCAGCCCCTTTCAGGTAGCTCCCCTAAAGATTTAGAATTTAACATGATCTTGAATGACTTGTATGTATCTATCAAAAAAATAAATATAGGGTTATTCAGTATTATGGTATATTTTACATGTGTTTTCCATGTTTTGTCATAATTATTACATGGATTTTCATAACAACTGCAAAAAGCTCCCTATTCTGTTGCATAAAAGTAGCTCTGCACTTCAAAAAGGTTGGAGACCCCTGCAGTACCAAATACTAAAGCTTATTGGAAAATACCTAGAGATGTCACTACATCACTGTTACTGCCAGGTCACATCTCTCTCATGCCTGTTCTGACGGTCGCCTAACGTTTTCTGGCAGGACTCTGGTCTGGGACAGAAATGGCGTGAGTGCTCAGGGTCTGCAGGACGTGGCCTCAGCGCTGGAGAAGTAAGTCTTTCATTCAGTCTAAGGCAATGCAAGTTTATTTTTTATAACACATTTCCTACATACAGCAGCTGACACCGAGACTGACATCGCTGCACAAAGTCACGGGATTTATACAGAAAATCAAACAATAGCTGACTTTGCATAATTTCTGAGCACACAACAAAACATTCTGTAATCTGTATGCATACCTTTATATACCTATACTAACATTAAAAAAATATTCTAATTCACATGAGAAAGGAAAGTCCTCAGCAACACCAAAATACATCTTCTCAGTGAAGGTGTCAGTCTCGTAGAAGGACACAGTACCACCATTAGAGTCCAGCTTGACCCTGATCTTCTCTGGATTTGTCTTCACTGTTACAGCTTCACCAAGGCCGTTTGTGTATTTACCATCTCTGTTCAATAAACACCAGATTCCATATTCAAGTGAAAGAAATATCTCTCCTTTCCTGTCGACTGACTCTTTTTCGACTCCGATGTTCCAGTGTGGATGATCTACCAACTCAACGTCCCCCTGTCTCTCTCGCTCTTGGCGTACAGCTTGATGTCATCCATGTAGAGGAGGTGACTGATATTTGCTCCGTTCCTGAGGCGGTATCCATATCCAGTCTGGTTGATTATTTGGCTTAGAGGGTTCAGGTCTTTGTAGAACAGTAGTGAGAACAGAGATACCACATTTGATGGTCACTTGTGCGAGCGGCTTGCTATTTGCCTCAAGGTGGTCTTCCACATCCCCATCAAGTTTGCAACTAAGTCCCTTAGAGCCCTGTTGATGTTGTACAACTTCAAGCATTCCATGATCCATGTGTGTGGCATTGAGTCGTAGGCTTTCTGGTGATCAATCCAGGCTGTGCACAGGTTGGTGTGTCGTGACCGGCAGTCTTGGGCGACTGTTCTGTCAACCAGGAGCTGGTGTTTGGCTCCTCTGGTGTCTCTACCAATGCCCTTCTGTGCTGTGCTCATGAATTGTTCCATATGCCCACTTATCTTAGCCGCAATGATGCCTCACATGATGACTCCATGTTGTGGAGAGACAGGTTATTGGCCGGTAGTTGGAGGGGACGGCACCCTGTCCCTTGATCAGGTTATGATCAGCTGAGTCCCATCTCTCAGCAGCTGGTTCATTTGTGCTGCTAGGCACTCATGGAGTGATGTGAGTGTCCTTAGCCAGTAGGCATGGACCAGATCAGGGCCAGGTGCTGTCCAGTTTTTCATACCTGAGACTCTTTCTCGGATGTCTGCCTCTGTGATGGTAACTGAGTTCTGTTCTGGGAGGTGGCTGTGCTCCTTTCTCAGGGAGACCAGCCATTGTGCACTGCTGTTATGTGCTGCATCCTTCTCCCATATGCTCTTCCAGAACTGTTCAGTTTCCAGCCTCGGTGGGTCTGCTCCCCTGTTGTTACCCTGCCACTGAGTGTACACCTTCGCAGGTTGTGTTGCGAACAGCCTGGTCACCCTTCTGGCTTTAATCTCTTTAGTGTACCTCTGTAGGCAGCTGGCCAGGGCTTGGAGCATTTTGCTTCAGGTATGGTCATCTGGCTGTACTTCTTGGGTACCGGTCTTGTCATTGCACCTCTCTGGGCCTCTGTTAATTGACTCACTTCTCTCCGAGCATGTGGACTCCGACTTTAACAGGCACTTCAAATATAGTGTCTAAATCAGTCTTAGAGATTCTTCTCCCTTTTTATTCTAAGGAGGTTGGACTCTCTTCAAACAAGCTGTAAAATAGCTGCTGTATATTCAAAATGCCGCAGCTCAAGTCCTAACTAGAACCAGGAAGTACCATCACATTAGTCCTGGTTTTTAAGTAATGTTTTAAGTAATGTTTATTTATATAACACATTTTACAGACACAGGGAGAACATGCAAACTCCACTCAGAAAGGCCCTGTTCCGACCGGAATTTGATCCCAGGACCTTCTTGCTGAGAAGCGAGAGTGCTATCCACTCAGCGACCGTGCCGGGACCAGCCTCCTGCTGGGACTCTGAGGAGCATAGGGACTGGCCTTGAACCTTTTTCTCATTGTTTTCCACATTATTTTTTCACCAATCCTTGAAGAGCACCCAACCCCTCACTACTTTTTTTGGATCCAATAAGAACTGGTTCCTCTTGTATTTTTCCAGGTTAAAATCTGTTTTGCTGCAACAACTGAACAGCTTGTATATACTGTGATTATTTATAGTCTTAATATTCATTTTCTTGTTTTTTTAGACATGAGTTGTTATGAATATGAACTGTGCCATACAAATAAACTTGTTTCAGGAACTTCACCATCCGCTTCATGCCGGTGCCCATCGTGGACGCGGCGCAGGCTCTAAAGGCCAACCCGGAGAAGACTGAGGCTGCTCTGCTTAAGGTTCCACACATTGACCAATCACAGACTTGCACTTGACCCGCTGTTATCATGAAAATATAATAGCAAGTCAAGTACATACTAGGCCCAAATCAAATAGATATAAAAGAGGACATTTAATGACTCTTAACAGTTACAAGTTACATACAGACAAAACAGAAAGAAATCATACCCAGTAGAGAGATGGTTTGGAGCTATAGAGCGAGGTCTTCTTGCTGTGTCCTCATGCCTCGAGGATCCACAAACAAGAGAGAGCCAGTGGCAAGCTGGCTACCAACTATATAACCCCCTGGTCACACTCGATTGGTCAGCCCTGGGAGGGGGAAGGAACAGATGCAAATTCATCCCACAATTACAGGCACAGAATCATTTATTTATTAATGTTTTATTTTCAGATGGAAAAGTTCCTCCTGAGGAACCATGAGACTCGGAAGTATCTGCAGGAGCAGGCATACCGCCTCCAGCAGGGGATTGTGACCACCACTACCCAGCAGGTACTGTAGAGCAGATACAGAGACTGTAGAGCCGGTACAGAGATTGTAGAGCAGATACAGAGACTGTAGAGCCGGTACAGAGATTGTAGAGCTGGTACAGAGATTGTAGAGCAGGTACAGAGACTGTAGAGAAAGTACAGAGACTGTAACAGAGACTGTAGAGCAGGAGTGCAAGGATGAAAAACAGCACCTCCAAACCCTCTTCCATGGTTCTGGACCAGAGAAAGGGCCTGATCCTCTGCAGGTCCTCGCCCTGGTCCTCCCCTGGTGCAGAGGTTCTGGTCCTCTCCAGCTCCTGGTCCTGTTGTGGACTGTTGCTGTCAGAGCTCTGGGTTACAGATGTTTTGTCTCTCTGCAGGTGATGGACTGTGTGTGTGTGAAGGTCCAGGACCATCTGAACTCTCTGAGGTTCTCTGAGTCCTCCTCAGTTCAGCAGGATGTGACGACTGCGCAGAGACTGATGCAGGACGCACGTAGCTCTAAGACGGTACCATCTCTGTTCACCCGAACCTAAACGCTCCTTGTTCACCCGGACCTGCGGTGAGAAACCAGTGGTTCTTGTGTCCTCAGCTGCTGCCCAGCCTGTACCACCTGCAGGACGGCGCCACGCCGGGGCCGTGTGTGAAGGCGATCCAGGACACGCTGCATTGTGTGGCCCGAGACGTGGCTCGCGTCATGGACCAGCAGATGCAGGTCAGACCAGTGTGTTTGAGGAGCTATAGTATCTCTGTGGTCTCTGTTCTGGAGTCTCAGTGGTCTCTACTCTGGTCTCTGTGATCTCTGCTCTCTCTGCTCTGGTATGGTCTAACCTGGTCTCTGCTCTGGTCTAAACCAGTTTCTGGTCCCCATGGTCTCTCTAATCTCTCTCTGGTCTGATTTATCTGTGGTCTCTGCTCTGGTCTCTCTCTGGTCTAACCTGGTCTCTGGTCTCAGTCCCTCCTGGAGCAGATGGTGTCCTCGGCCCAGACCCTGTGTCCTCACGTGATGCAGAGAACGTCTCTGAGGTCGGATCTTCTTCAGCGAGGGGCAAAGAAGAGGGTCATCTCTGAGGACTTCATCTGCTCTACGCTGCTGGAGCAGACCGGAGTGGACCTGTGCAACAAGATCAGGTCTGAACCCTGGTCTGAAGCGGGGCTGAACTAGGACTGAAACAGAACAGCAAGTTTGAACCAGGTCTAAATCTGGTCTAAACCAGCACTGTTGCAGGTGCAAACCAGGTCTAAACCCGGACTGAACCAGCCCTAAACCAAGTCTTTCTTTTTGCAGTGAGGTCAAACTCAATATGGCATCCTTCCTCTCGGACAGAATCGTGGACGAGATCCTGGAGTCTCTGTCCCAGTGTCAGTCCACACTGGTATGTGCGTGTGTGTGTCTCTGTGTTTGCATCTTTCTGTGTGTCTTTGTGTGTGTGCTACTCCATGTGTGTGTGTGTGTTGACATAATAACATGTGTGCAGTCGGAGCACGTGAAGCTGCGGCGTCGGCCTCTGGAGAAGGACACTCCGTCTGAACCTGAGGTCATCGACAAGACCGAGCTGCAAGAGGAAGTGGCCAGCCGGAGAGTGCCCAACCAGGAAGTGCCCAATCAAGAAGGGCCCGACAAGATAGTTTCCAACCAGGAAGTGGCGGAGGTCAGCAAGCCCTCAGGCGATTCCAGCTCCAGCATGGTACAACTACAAAGCGGTTTAAAATCTGTTAATCTCAGGTATTGACCAATGGACCCATGATCCTCTCATAGAGCAGACTGACCGGGTGTGACAGCACCATAGGGTTTGCCTAAATCCGAAAATTGCCAAAATGAACAAAAGCTATTTGGTCAAGTCTTATATTGCTCATATCTGGATAAGACAAAATCACAATATAAACTTCAGGATCAGAGAGCTCTAAACCAGTGATTTAAGCCCAAAATGGTGAGAGTGACACAAACGGATCCTGAGCTAGAGGAGTTTACTTTTACATGTAATAATAATAATAATAATAATAAATAATGCATTGCTTTTATATAGCACTTTTCTGGACACTCAAAGACGCTTCACATGTCATCATTCATTCACTCCATACACGGTGGTGATGAACTACTACTGTAGCCACAGCTGCCCTGGGGCACACTGACAGAAGCGAGGCAACCAGTATAGGCCATCGGCCCCTCCGAGCACCACCAACCATTCACACACACACCAGACTCATTCTAGGCAATGGGGGTAAAGTGGCTTGCCTAAGGACACAACGGCAGTTTGGCACTTTACAGCCGCCCCACTGTGGCCTCCATGAGGACTGCAGTGAAAAACCCTGTGGTCCATCCTGAAGCTGAGAACCTGTGGTTGTTTTTTCCTCAGATGAAGTCCAAGAGGAAGAGTATCCTGGTGCGGATGCTGCGGCCGGTGTCGGTGGCCTTTGGTGAGTTCAAGCCATCGTCTCTCTACTGTAAGCCGCAGTTACAAGCACAACCTAAAGCCCAGTTAAAGTGGGCCAAGGCCCTGAATGTGATTAGATCCAGGCTTTAAATGCCATGTCCCCACGGCAACTGGGCTTGAGTATGGTTGCTCCAAATGTGCTTTACAATCATGCATGGTTGTAAAGCCCAGATTGGTGGGGGAGGTCGATGTGGTGGGGAGTGAGGTGAGATGGTAACGTGACATTGTGCGTCACATTACCTCTTTCTGCTGCGCCCACTGTGATGTTTTTTTCACACACGTCTCCCTTGCATACTTTTGCATTCTGCCTTGCTTGTGTTGCAGCTTTACCATGGTAAAGGGGCGCAGAGGAGATTTGTGGTTCTATTGCCGAAGGGATGTGTTTCCTACAGGGGATAACTACCTTATGTTTCGCTGTAACAGTGTTAATGCCACTGCAATAACACTTCAAACTGTTAGAGAGTCAGATTTTATTTTCCTCGCCAAAACACACCAACATTCACTTGTATCCTGCGTGGTTTCGGTTGCTCTGCTTGTACGCCACACTTTTCGTTCATTCATTCTCATTCATTCATTTCTCAGCGCTCCAGTGTCCGGCGCACGCACGCACGCACACACACACATTTTATCCACTAAGCTGTTGCACATTGAAGAAAGACACATCTCACACTTGCACACATTGGGCCTCATGTATGAAATTTGCGTACGGCCAAATCAGGGTGTAAATGAGGCGTAAATTGTAAAATTTACACTTTTCCGCATTTATCAATCTGGACGTGGGCGTACGGTACGCACAGAATTCACACCAAGTCAACCTTCGTCACAACACACCAAAGCAAGCATGAAATTCAAGATTTGGACAAAAATGAACATAGTCCCACTCTGGCAAAATTATATTCTGCGTTTTCATGGAGAATCATGTTTCGGAATTTGAATTTGCGCATCAGAAAAAGACTAACACTCTGGATACACGCAAACTTTGAATAAATCACAGATCATGATGAGGAGCCTCTTCTGTTTCTATGATTTTAAATCTGACTTCTGTGTGTATTATTTTGATCTGTATGTTTTTAAAATGTGAAGCGCTTTGTGATCCTGGACAGTGAATGGCTCTATACAAATACACTTTAATCGACAGGGATGTGTGCTGTGGCAGGCTCTGCGCTGCGCAATTACGGACGGCTATTTGTATTCCTCATTCACATCTGGTAAAGCAATGTATGTTTTCATTAGATATGTGTAGGCAAGGCAAGGCAAGTTTATTTATATAGCACAATTCATACACAAGGCAATTCAACGTGCTGAACAAAATAAGAAAGCATTAAAATCATAAAAAATCACAGAACATTAAAAAGAAAGCTAAAAATATAAAATCCCTCAGTTGTATGCACAGCTAAACAGAACTGTCTTTAACCTGGTTTTAAACATTGTCATTGAGGAGGCCCGTCTCACATCTTCAGGAAGACTGTTCCAGATTTTAGCAGCATGAATCTGAAAAGCAGCCTCTCCATGTTTAGTTCTGACTCTGGGCACTAACAGGAGTCCAGTCCCTGTGCTCCTCAGAGTCCAGGCTGGTTCATATGGGACTAACATGTCACTAATATATTTTGGTGCGAGGCCATGGAGAGACTTGTAACAAGCAGAGCTGTTTTAAAGTCTATTCTCTGAGCCACAGGAAGCCAGTGCAGAGGCCTGAGGACTGGACTAATGTGGTCGTACTTCCTGGTTCTTGTCAGGACTCGAGATGCTGCATTTTGAATGTACTGCAGCTGTTTTACAGCCTGTTTGGACAGACCTGTGAGCAGGCCATTGCAGTAGTCTAACCTACTGGAGACAAATGCATGGATAAGAATCTCCAAGTCTGCTTTAGACACTATGTTTTTGATCCTGGCAATGTTTTTTAGATGGTAAAAAGCTGCTGATGTTACTGATTTGATGTGGCTATTAAAATTGAAGTCTGAGTCCAGTATTACCCCTAGATTTCTGACCTTGTTTGAAGGTTTTAGGGAGAGAGAGACTGTAGGTGACAGATGACGCTCTCTTTGTTTCTGGGGACCAAAGACAATCATTTCAGTTTTGTCTGCGTTTAGCTGAAGGAAGTTGTTTTGCATCCACTCACTGATCTGTTGGATACAGTGAAGGAGTGAGTCCACTGGTCCATGTTCTCCTGCAGTCAGTGAGACATAGATCTGAGTGTCGTCTGCATAGTTGTGATAGGACACTTTGTTTCTGCGTATTAACTGACCTAACGGCAGCATGTAGAGAGTGAACAGAAGAGGTCCCAGGATCGACCCCTGTGGTACTCCACAGGTCAGGGCCATATGATCTGAGACACAGTTTCCAATCTCCACAAAGTACTTCCTGTCTTCAAGGTAAGACCTAAACCAACTTAGGGCGGTGCCAGCGACGCCAACCCAGTCCTTTAGTCTCTGTAAGAGGATCTCATGGTCGACAGTGTCAAAGGCAGCACTCAGATCTAACAAGATTAAGATTGAGACTTTGCCTGCGTCAGTGTTCAGCCGGATATCGTTTGTAACCTTAACGAGAGCAGTCTCAGTGCTGTGGTGGGGACTGAAACATATCCAATGAGTTGTTGATTATAAGAAATCTAGTAAGCTATTGGTAGACAACTTTCTCAAGGACTTTACCCATAAATGGTAGATTTGAGATGGGACGATAGTTGTTAAGTACCGTAGCATCCAGACTGCACTTTTTAAGTAGGGGCCTGATGACTGCAGTTTTCAGGGCCTTTGGGAATATTCCAGAATGAAGGGACATGTTTACTATCTGTGTGAGTGAAGGTAACAGACTGCTCAGAACAGACTTTAGAAATCTAGTGGGTAGTACATCCAGGTTGCATGTGGAGGAGCTCAAACTGGAGATTATCTCTTGGACAGTTTGATCATTTACAGGTGCAAAGTGAGTTAGCTCAGAGAGCCTTTCTGGCTGTTGGATTGTTATCTGTGGATTGGAGACAATAACGTTTTTGATGCCTTGAACCTTGTCTTTGAAAACATTTTCAAACTCATTGCATTTACGTTTGGAAGTAAGCTCTAATGGCATCTGAACAGGGGGGTTTGTTAATCTATTAACTGTTGAGAACAGAACACGCAGATTGTTTCAGAAAAATACCTTTCTCTCGTACTACGTAGCACCCGGTTAAACTCGCACAACTTATCTTTGAAGATCTCGTAATCAACCTGGAGGTTGGACTTGCGCCACTTCCGCTCGGCCCTCCGGCACTTTCTCTTTTGTGCCCTGACCGAGTCTGCTTTAGCCCACGGCGCCTTCTGCTTATTTTTCACTATTTTAACCTTCACAGGGGCAACGGTATCCAGAACATTCAAAACACTAGAGGTGACAGAGTTAAACAGTTCATCTACAGTAGAACACGATGCATTCTCAAAGTTTATCATTCCCATAAATAGATCACTCATTTTCATTTATGCGCCTTCTTCGAACAGTTGCAGAGTCCACTGGTGGTTTGTTAGTGAAACACATGTCAAAAAAACAGAAATGATGCAACATCGACCACGTTTACATTTGAAATATTCACCCCCTTAGTAACTAACAGATCTAGAGTGTGCCCTCTGCTGTAGGTGGGGCCACTCACATGCTGAGTGAGACCAAAGGATTCAAGTACAGAACTCGGCTCATTTGCATTTCTGTCATCAACATTATCCACATGAATATTAAAATCACCTGTAATAACCAAACTATCAAAATCTGTGCATACAACTGAAAGCAACTCGGTAAAATTATCAATAAAACTGACATGACTGCGGTGGCTTGTATAGGACAATGAAAATAATTGTTTTTGTTGTATTTTAAAAGACACATATTCAAATGACGAAAACTTCCCAAGAGACATTCTATGGGAGACAAAGTGGTCTCTAAAAATGGTAGCTAAGCCTCTTCCTTTTTTGTTTTCCCGTATTTACGATTCAAATTTGAAATTTGGTGGTGATGCTTCTATTAAAACTGCATTTCCTGAATTTTGGTCAAGCCATGAACATAAGATCAAGATTGAGAACAAATAAAAATTATTGATTAAAAAATACTTGTTACAAAGAGATCTGACATTAAGCGTAGCAAGTTTCAAAGTTTCAGGATCAGCGGTTGTGGTCGGCTGATTCTTACACGGAACAAGAATTAGATTTTCCAGATTAGACTGATTAACTCCAGATGTTTTTCTGTTATGTATTCTTTGTGTTATCACTAAGGGAATGGCACAGGTGACTTCATGACAGGGCCCCAGCCGGGTCTCTCCTCTAACTAGACTGCCAGTGGCTGCGAAGCAGAGACCCTGTGCATCCTAGTGTTTAGAGAAAAGAGGGGAAGGGGAAGGCGGGGGAGGAGGATGGAGAGGTGGGTGGCTTTTGGGTGTACGAGGGGGGCAGGGAGGTGGAGGGGTTTTTGGTGATGGGTTAGGGGCGGGGTGGGCTGAGGAACAAGGGGGAAGTGGGGGTGGAATGGTCATGAGGTTAGGGGAGGGACTGGCTGAGGTGGTTTTTGTAGGTAAATTGGAAACCCTAGGTGGTTTTGGAGGTACATATGGGGAGTGGTTTAGCATGTTGGACAGGACTCTAGATCTAGCTAATATGGGTGTGAGAGGAATAGTCTTCATCGCCGATTTTATTAGTGTTCATGTAGGTCTAACAGTGAAGGCGGGGATGAAAAACAAAGGGACGTGTCCCCATTCTCTCTTGATGGAGTGGACGTGGCAGGGGGGACCCAAGACAGGTCCATGGGAGGTGGCGAGGGAGTCTTTGATGGAGGGGCAGGTGGTTGAGGAAACCCCAGCACAGGCCTGTCTGCTGTAGCCTGGGGTGAGGCTGGGGGCTTCAGAGGCGCTATAGATGAAGAAGGCGTGACTGCTTCGGAGCAGGCTGGGGATGAGGATGTTGGTGGTGGTGGTCGTGCAGCTGGTGCTGCTACTGGTGATGATGCAGCTGCTTCTGATGACAGTGGAGGTGTTGAGATCCTTCGAGGCGGTGGTGGTGTTGAGATCCTTCGAGGTGGTGGTGGTGTTGAGATCCTTCGAGGTGGTGGTGGTGTTGAGATCCTTCGAGGTGGTGGTGGTGTTGAGATCCTTCGAGGTGGTGGAGGTGCAGAGACTTTTGGAGTCGGCTTCCTCCCTTTCGATGGCTGCACGCGCTGCGCAGGCTGAGGTCTCAGGGCAAAAGAAAGGTTATCCATCAACACTTTGATCAAGTGTTCAAATGTGGCCCTTTCCCTTCAAAAAGCTCATGCCTATTCCAGAACAGATTAAAATTCTCAATGAAGGCAAGTCCTCTGCATGAACATTCGTTGAGTAGGAAAGTATTTACTGTAGCTGATACAGACGACTGAATTTCATTTGCTTCCCGTCCACATTTGGTAGTGGGCCACTGATAACAATTGTTACGTCCATTTTTGCAAGGTCATCCAATAAGAGAGAATAATCCCGTTTCAACTTTTCACTTGTTTTGTCTTAGACGTCTACTGCCCACACGTGGATCAACAATCTTTTTACCCCGCCGGTCTCAGACAGAAGCTTTGGAGCCAACAGCCTTATCTCATCCACTTTGGCCGAGTGTACCGCGTGAACCTTCAGATTACGCATGTTTACATTCCTAATCGCAAAATCCCAGATAAAGAGCGACTCAGCTGCATTTGACCTTGACTGAGACTGAGACTGAGACGCTACTACTTCCAAAAGTGGTGAATAGCGGTTCCTTGTAATTAAAGATTTTTGCTGTGGCATTATAACTCTTGTTATCATTAGCTTTGCCTTGTTTGGGCTTGGCACCATATGTGTTCCAACAATTGTCTCTGTTGATTTTGGGAAATGAAATAGCGTCATCATAACTTACGTTCTGTCCATTTGGTCCATTTCCCTTCACTGGTATTGTTGTGTTCAGCCCAAATTCTGATTCAAGCACAAACATTTGGTCTTGAAGAAGTTTTAGCTCCTGTTTGAGTGAAAAACAGCCGTCGCAAAGTTTTGTTCTTTTTTTCCGTCCTTCCGACATGCTGTAAATTAGGTAAATTCCACAAGTCTTGTGTTGAAGTATGCAAAAAGGAGTAATCTGTGTTTTGTGGAATAAAAATCTAAGCAAAAATGATTAAAGCAGCAAGCGAGGAGCAGCAAGAGAATGCGACTGCTCTGTCCAGAGCAGGAAGTACTCACACAGACACACACCCCATTAACGCATGGACCGATGGACTATGGTATTGCTCACTCCAAATGTCATGGCGAGAGGTCACGCCACATAACGCCTCAAATGCTGTCATTCAGAAGTTTTGGCTCCAGAGTTTCTTTGTGAAATCTGGACCGTAAACGCTCTCTCTGCGCTTCAGTGCATTCACAAGACGCTGCAGACGCTTCATTGATGAGAGCCACCACTGCACAATATATATGAATTAATTAATTCATTCATTCATTATTTATTCACCTCTACAATTCAAGAGAGATTTTTCTAATTTATCTAAACATTTTTGCAAATTTGTTCAAAACGCAGCTGAATAAATAGCGTAGCGTAGTATATAGCGTTTATTTTTACATATGAACAACTTGTGGCAGACCCTGCACCGTACACGTAATTACGCATATGTTTTACCTCATTCACCTCTGGCAAAGCCATGTGGGTTTTCCTTAGTTTTGTGCATAAAGCCCCATAAATGCACCTGATCTTGCTCAAAACTGTCTCAGGCACTGCCCTGTACTCCGCAGACGCGCACCAGCAGTATATTCATTCATTCATTCAGTAATTTATTAATTATTTATTTACGTCGAAATTGAAGTGCTGCAGTGGGTCTAGACACTAGGGAAAATAGTGTATACATAATATAGCGTATATTTACTTTTTTTTTTTAAACGTGAATAAACTCAGAAGTGCATGCTTTTTGAGGCTTCTTAGCCGACTTCCTGCTGAACTGTCGTAAAGACGGGGCGTGATCAGACGGTTTCTGAATATTTATAGGCGTGACTTTCAACAATACGCCGGTTTTGAGCGCGGCATTTATTAAACAGCCGCAGGTGCGTACGCTCGAATCTGTGCGGATTTCACACGTTCATAAATGCCACGTCAGATCTTGCGTTTCTGGAATCTACACCCAAAATGTACACCTTTTTCTGCGCAATTTTCATAAATGAGGGCCATTGACTCTGATTGCAAAGAATGCAATCCATGCTTGAGCTGGTTAGCGTACAGTCTAGATCCATGCGCACAGTAGCCGAGTGTGCAAGAGCAAGAGCAAACAGCAAGAGAAACGGAAACTTAATTCCATCCCAGAGGTAATCACTGAGGTTAGTATTAGCGCCACCAGCTGGACCGAGCGTTGTACTACACCTTATATGGGTTGGCATGGTTTAAAAAGTATACCCTTCTGACCACGGGCCGAAATTCCTACTCTGGCCAATCGCTGTCAGTTCAACACCAGCTCAGCCTGGATAAAACCATGAGGTAGCCCTTTATTCGTCCCACAGTCGGAAATTTTCAGAGCACGATATGACGGGCAGCCAGCTTCCTCCAGCCCTTGCGCAGAAAGGACCAATGAAGAACCTAGTACTGGTTAAACAGGGCCAGTGGAAACAATCAGCGGAGAGTAGATGAGATTAAAATAGAATAGAGTAGAGTTGAGTAGGAAAGGGTGGTCTCTCTTTAGTCTCATAAATATATTCCAATGTGGTGTCCAATGTGGTGGCTAATGTATTCCAATGTGGTGTTTTTACTGCAAATGGCAAATAAACTGGATCTGAATCTACGTAAATAACACATTGTAGTTTGTCCAACAGGAATAGTCTTGAAGTAAAATGTCTTTATCTAATTAGAAAACTTGTTTTCTTATTTGGAAGGAAGAAAAAATAACTCTTTAGGCTGAGAGCTGATGGGCTGAGTGAGTGTGGTCCTCTCTTTATCCCTTTTCTGTCTGAAAAAGCTGATCCAAAGATGTGACGGAGGTCAGAAATACTCATGATAGAAGCAAACAACCAGACCCGGAGAAAGACCTAGACTAGACCCAGACCAAGACCCAGACATAGACCAAACAGCCAGGAACTAGTGACAAAGAAGAGTGGTTGTTGTACATTAGCGTTACATTTACATATCCTAGCTTTAACAGTCTTTCTTTAGCTGAAAATATTAGTTGATTACATGTAAGCTGAATCATTTCCCTTTTTCAGAGATGGAGTTTGATTTGGACAAAGCCTTGGAGGAAGTTCCAATCCACATGGAGGACCCACTGCCCGCTAACATGCCATTGGACAGAGTGACCGAAGCCCCGCCCCCAGACCTGCCCCCACTCCAGATCCAGACTCTCGACCACCAGACCAAGTCCAGACCCAAACCCAATAGACGCACCAAACCGACCAAAGCCAAGGTGAGACCGTGGTCTAAACAAGGGGTCTCTAATGCGGTGTGTCTGGGCTGCATTAAACCCCCGCCTCATTTTGGCTTGTGCACAAAAGTTGGGCATACCCAAATGTCTTTGCTTATATAAAAACACATCTTACATCTCACATGCTTGTATGATGCATCATTTTAAAGCTAGAGCCTTCTAGTTTATGGAAATATACACTAAAAAAATGTTTGTCATTCCTATTTCACTCTGCATCCTTTGAAGTTTGGGAAAAAACCCTATTTTTTAGCCTTGCCTAAAATTTTCCATTTCTAAAAAGGCATATTAATTGTAAGCTCACAATATTCAAACCCTGTGGTCATTGTGTTGTTGACAACAACTGTCTAAAGTTTCAGACATCTAAGTTTTATAGTTTTTATGCCGTTTATCCTTTTCATCAAGTAGTGCCATTCGGAACCAATTTGGCACAATTATAAAAAACATATTTTCTACAAGTTACTAATCATTGTGATTTTTTTTTTTAAATGTCAAAGTTGATTTTTTATCAGCGTAAATTCATTGCGGCTTCGAGAGCGTCTTTTGACTGCACACTTATACTGACACAAACTAAGACGGTACACCTTTGTCCCACCCCTTGCTCATTGGCTACACGGACATGTCAATCAAACGGCCAGGAAACAGATCCCAAGCAGTAAGCTCAGTCAACCATGCGCAAAAATCAGCCGCTAGCTGTACTCATGGAGATGTTGCAGACGTAAACAAGCTCATAGCTCTTGGAAGGTCTCATTTTGAAGCTAACAAGCTGTGTGGATATGTGTTTGGGTGAAAAACAAAGCTAAAAGTCCGTTAACAGTGAAAGAGCAGACTGTGCTCTTTTTTGTAGTTTTTTTTGCTAAAGATAAATGCACATTTTTGGATTATTTCTCCAGAATGGATTATACTTTGGGTAATACAAGTGGATATTATTTTTCAATGGACTGTTCCAGAGAGAAAGAGGAAGCTGGGAGGAGATCTGATTTATTTATGCAGCACAAGCCCAAAGGTATAAAACTTTTTCGGAAGTGATTTATTTTGTGCCCATATTATGTGTTATATCTTTTGAATGCAAAGTCTGATGTAGTTTACACTTGTATATAAATGTAGATAAAAATATCTACATAATAAGCTTTATAATGATATACAGATTTTGGGGTTTGGTGTTCAAAATACATCTGCTATTGCAAGCAGAACATTTTAAAAATAAAAATGGATGTTAAGAGGAAGGGCTTATGTTTGTGTAAGGTCCGTGTACTTTTGCGTTCAATACATTTTCTATTTTTGAAAGGAAATCGAAAATCGAAAAAAGGCTATTTTACATTTTCAGGCACACAGCAATATACAAAAATGACCATTTTGGGTTTTTTTCATTACTTATAAAGACATATATATTATAATAACCGGATTTGGGAACTAGAAAATGCAATAATTGACCTTATTTTATTATGTATTTAATACATTTCGGCGAGAATCGATTACCCGGAAGTGAAACAAGTTTGTTTACTCGCACGGGTTTCCTGTGGACCCCTGATAATTTGTGATAATCACGGAGAACGTCTGAGATTTTGCAGTGCATTCACACGGGATAAGCAATATCTGTAAAATACTATTTTCACTGACATCTCACATCTCCCCGCTTCACACAGTTCAGAGAATCGCGTCTGACCACAGCAGCCACAGAGACCAGAGACCATGAGGACAAACATTTTACTGCTCTACAGTTCTCTGGCCCGTACTGTCTGTAATGTTTAATGATAGTTTGTATGGACTACTCGTGAACCACATACTCTGCTAAGTAACGGCTGCAGCAACATGTCTGTACTGTATTACCACAGAGTGCAAAGTAAACGTACAAATGCCACCCATCGGTCTGATCATTTAGTGTCAGTGAACACATTACACTGTCCTCTACACTTCTCCACAGACCTCACAGAGACAGCAGCAGCCGCGGCTCTCCAGCTGTGTACACAGCCGCAATCCGCGACTCCTCTGCTCATTGACAGAAACAACGCAGAAAGTAAAGCGAAAGCAGCAATCACGATCACAATCACTGACATGTAGATTCTCACGGGATAAGTATTATCACAGAACGTCTGTGTTTGGACCAGTGGGGGCGGGTCCTAGCTCAAAAGTGGCCAAAATGACGTGCGCTGACATGCTGCAATACCACCCCGGGCCGATGGGGGTGGACCCAGAAGTAGAATTAGCCAATGCTAACATATAGCATTGGCAGACCTCTTGAAAACGTCTTTACAGGATGGACCAAAAGTTGGCTCTTGGCCCAAAGCTCCGTTCCACATGTGTGTCAATGCTGAGGGGGGTGGATTTTTTTGGTCCACTCTAGTTTACTTGCTGTGAATTTTTGAAGTCTCTCGTTCAAATGAATGGAGTTGCGCTGGCTGACGCATGCGCAGATGTGTTTTTTCACAATTTTCTTGTGGGCGGGACCACTCGCGGCCATTTTGGATAGCTCCGGTAGAGCAAATTTTTTGGCCCATTAGTTAGAACGCCGGAGATAGGCGTGACTCTGTCCATTATTATATACAGTCTATGGTTTGGACAAATATAGGAGCGAATAGGGCTGAAGTAAACAAACTTGTTTCACTTCCGGGTAATCGATTGACGCCGAAATGTATTAAAAACATAATAAACAAAACGGTTAATTAAAGTTCCCAAATCCGGTTATTATAATATATACGTGTCTTATAAGCAATGAAAAAACCAAAATGGTCATTTTTGTATATTGCTGTGTGCCTGAAAATGCAAAATAGCTGTTTTTCGATTTTCCATTTTCCTTCAAAAATAGATAATGTATTGAACGCAAAAGTACACGGACCGTGTTAACTCCCAGTTGTAGAGGGATTATTTGAAACAAAGTTTATAATCTCCAACTCGTGGCTGAGCTTTTATTTCCTTGAGAAAGTTCTTCGGATGAAGGACCAAAAGTCGGAAAACCTGCTAACTGAAGTACAGGTGATGGGTGAGCAGCCTTCCTTTGTTTTTATTAAGGGGGTAAGGTTTATCACATTTTTGTATGTGTGCAAATCATAGACTTTATATATTAATGGACAGAGTCACGCCTATCTCTGCTGTTCTAACTAATGGGCCGAAAAAATTGCTCTACTGGAGCAATCCAAAATGGCCGCGAGTGGTCCCGCCCACAAGAAAATTGTGAAAAAACGCATCTGCGCATGCGTCAGCTGCAACTCCATTCATTTGAACGAGAGACTTCAAACATTCACAGCAAGTAAACTAGAGTGGACCAAAAAAAATCACCCCCCTCAGCATTGACACATGTGGAACGGAGCTTTGGGCCAAGAGCCAACTTTTGGTCCATCCTGTAAAGACGTTTTCGAGAGGTCTGCTAATGCTATATGTTAGCATTGGCTAATTCTTCTTTACCCCATCGGCCCAGGGTGGTATTGCAAGCATGTCAGCGCACGACATTTTGGCACCTTTTGAGCCGAAACCCGCCCCCACTGGTGCAAATATACAAACGCAGGCGCAAACGGATCTTTGCACACACAGAGATAGAATCAAACACTAAAATTGCACACGCTATTCTACTTTGCACACGCACTTTAGCTCCTGGATAAATATAATAAACTATTTCTAACTTTGCATCCTTTTATACTCTTTCTCTGGTCTCTCACTCTCTCTCTATAGTCTCTCTCTTGTCTCTCTCTCTGGTCTCTCTCTGTTTCGAGGTCTCTATGTACACGCATCTGCGTGTACATAGAGACCTCGAAACAGAGACACAAACAGGAAAATCAAGAATCAAGCGGTTGTGGAAAGTTTTATAGTTCATTATTTGAATCTGACTTTTTAAAATCATGAGGGTGTTTGGACCAAATAATTACTTTTATTGTATATGAGTTTGATATAATTCTTAGATATTTCTATTCAAATCAATTTATTCTTGTATAGCTCTATATCACTATAGTAGTATATCTTGAAGGACTTAACAAAACTGTTGAATTTGCCAACACAGATCAGAGAATCATTAGTTCAACACAATTGCAACAATAAAAACACAGAGGGGCGACAGTAGCTCAGTTGGTAGAGCATTGGCCTGAAGGTCGTGGGTTCATTTCCCACCTCGACACCGACTCCCACTGATGTCTGTTGTTGTTGTGTCCTTGGGCAAGACACTTAACCCCACTTTGCCTGAAGCCCTCGCTGAAAGATCTCAGCTCCTGTGGACTCAGCACCTGCAGGAGGATCAGTGAGGGGCTGGTGCCCTGTGTACTGGGAGCAGCTCTGACTGCCACCCCCCGACCCAGAAATGGATTAAGGGGAAGAAAATGGATGGATGGATGGAAAACACAGAGCCATTGGTCCATAAGGAGCAGATGACCAGTGATGGGAATAACGGCGTTACTAGTAACGGCGTTACCAGTAACGGCGTTACTAACGGCGTTACTTTTTTCAGTAACGAGTAATCTAACTAATTACTTTGACAGTAACTATAACGCCGTTATCATTTCCGACATCCCGTTACTGCGCGTTACTCAAGACGCACAATGAACGTGTTGTCATGAGAGAAGGGAGGATGAGAAAACCTCTCAGCAATTATTGGCTGATGTAAAACATATTTCCTTTACAATCCACATGTCTACAGTTGAGAGGATGGCTCATAAATTGTGTTTTTGAAACAAATATGGGTCTTAATCGCGCTCAACCACGGCTTGTATCACCGTGAGGTCAGCCACAGAGGAGCGCATGTGAGCGCAGAAGTCGGCTGCATACAATTCCATCGATAAGCTCCTTGCTCTTCCTGGTTTATCTGCTAAGGACAGCAACAGGTTTGGCTAACATACATATAACACATTTTTACATAATCTAAAATGCACATAGGGTAATTTTTCAATTACTATAGGAATGATAAGAAAGAGAGGTGAAGTGTAAGACGGTTGATTTTAGAAATTGGATGCACTCGGCTGCCGCTAGCAAAACACAGGAGTTTATGGAGGACACACGCGTTTTGTTTTACTTTTTAAAACTCATTGGACTCATTTCCAAATGGAGGATTACATATCTACGCTCAAACCATTAACTGGATTTAAACAAGGAACTGGTCTGAACCGAAGTGGACTGTGCAGGTCGTTTATAAGGTAAGACCCATAACTCATAGTTTTGCGTTTTGTATGAACAAACAATGCGGGCATAAAACATATTTTGCTGTAGCCAAACAAATTGTCCACTTGATTTATATGATATATATGTTCATCTGATTGGACTGAAGTCAGTGCTTCACCGGTGTTTCCACATTCACAGTGGCGGGTGTTGGTGTTTAGTGCTTTACAGCACAGAGAGAGATGTAGAGTGAACAGGACTTCAGCAGCAAAACAGCCTTTTCTAGATGGAAATATTGGCACTGTTAAAGGTAAAAATGCGCACAACGGGTGCACATTATGTTCCAGAACAAAACGAAAAAGTAACGCAATAGTTACTTTTACTGGTAACTAGTTACTTTTATAGTGGAGTAACTCCGTTAGTAACTCAGTTACTTTTTGGGAGAAGTAACACCTGCGGCTGTTTATAAATGCTGCGCTCAAAACCAGCGTATTTATGAAAGTCACGCCTAGAAATATTCAGAAACTGCCTTTTCCACGCCCTGTTTTTGCGACAGGTCAGCAGGAAGTCGGCTAGGAAGACTGTTTGGAAGCCTCAAAAAACACACACTTCTGAGATTATTCACGTTTAAAAATATATATATATATATATATATATATACGCGTTTTTCCCTAGTGTCTAGACCCACTGCAGCACTCATCTCTCCTGAAATTTAGAAGTAAATAATAAATGAATTAATTAATGACTGAACCAGTTCCCACATGCACGTTGCATCCTATCTCTGCTGTGGAGAACAGGGCAGTGGATGAGCAGTTTTGAGCAAGATCAATTGCGTTTATGGGGCTTTATGCACAAAACTAAGGAAAACCCACATTGCTTTGCCAGAGGTGAATGAGGCAAAACATATGCGTAATTACGTATACGGCGCAGGGTCTGGTTAGTGAGTAAACGGCTAAGGAAAAATAACTTCAAGGAGCAGGAGATTGAGACCATTATGAACGAAGTGGGAAAAAGAATAAAGTCTTACTATTTGGAATTCTCAAAAGTGGCATCAAGGGGCTCAAAAAACAATGTAGGTAAAGAAATGACAGCATCTGTAAACAGCGTGGGGCCTGCAACACGCACTCCTGAAGAGGTGAGTTTATTCATGTTCGAAGAAAGATACACTATATTAAATCAAACAGTTGATATATTGGGCCAATAGTAAGAATTCATTAATTTATGCTACAAGTGAAAAAAAAGGGAGCGACCTTATGGTAACAAAAAGGCGTTTAGCGCAGCCCATAGAAGAAGTGCTCTGGACCGCCAGACCAAAGCATCCAAAAGAAAATATAAAGAAATAAAATTATCTTCAAATTATGTATGTGATTATTATTTTAAAATGATTGAATGAGAGTCTATCTGAGCTGTACAGGCCGAAGGCGGTGCTGGCCATGGTCTCTCATCCATGGGCTGCTCCACCAGTGGCACACTGTGGTCCTGTGGCTGTTGTGGAGAACCGAGCCAGGACCATGTGGCACACTTGTACCGGGAGGTACCAGAGCGTACCCCCTACATGTCCCAGAGCCTGATCCGACCCGCGCAGAGCTCCACGGTGGCGCGTGTCTTTGCTTGGACCCGCTTGGACCAAAGGCATTACGCACTGATTGTAGGTGCATATAACAATCCACACATTTGTGGGAGACTAAGTTTGACATCTTGCACGTTATTTAATAACACAAACTAGCCCTAACATAACATCGTAAAATAGCATATTTGTAATGTGAGAGGTGTGCCTATAATCTTGTCAGAGTGGGAATACGTTTATTTTTGTCCAAATCTTGAATTTCATGCGTGTTTTGGCGTGTTGTAATGAAGGGTGAAATGAGCGTACACTAGGGCTGGGACAACGCGTCGACGTAATCGGTGACGTCGCCGAAAAAAATACACCGACGTATAATATGCGCGTCGGTGCGTCACACACAAAACAAAGATGGCGGCGAGCGGTAGCAATGCGAGTGCCGTGAAGTGCAAACCGGTGTAACGCTGAGATACACTGCCTTGAAGAGATGCACAGCCTCAGCTGTTTATGATGTAATGCAAACCTGCGCATGCGCATCTCACGGCAGCCGAAGCAAACCAAGATGGCGGACCGTGAATTTCTTTAAAAGTTAAAATACGAACGAATTCAGACACGAATGTCACTTTTAATGCAAATTGAGGCGAGATGTTGATGGTTCCGTTTTGTCACATGCGGGTTTTAAGAGTCAAAGTTTTGTGCAAAGTTTAGCGGGAGAGAAGTCTTCAGGAGTTAGTGCGCGGACGTAGCGCTCCTCGTATTATTACGGCCTATTCCTTTAAAAGTTTACTTAAAATGAATGTTTATTGCATTCAGGGTTCAATGTCTATGGTCAAAGAAATGCTGTGGGTGTTTACTTGATATAAAATTATCTTTAAAACAATGTTTAAACTTAAGCCCAAACTCTCAGTGAGAGCCGCAAAGACATTAAAGTTTGATGTCCACTCGGGGGCCACAGAATACCCGGGGGCCGCATGTTGGAGACCACTGGTTTAGATGTAGTAGTTTTTCTGACGTTCCAATAAGCCACTGGTTGTATATGTGGAAAGGCAATCTCACCATCTCTATCAAAGTAGTAGCACTCTGATGTCACACTCTGGTGATGTCACACTCGCTCTGTGTGTGCAGTGTGCAGTGGCGCCCCTTGGTGTGGACGCAGAGCACAAACTGGATGAAGGCCTCGACGACTTCTTCTGCAAATCTGTCTCCAAACTACACTCCGGGTGAGAACGCACCTGTAACATTTCTGCATCTGTGTAATTCATGTTGTTTGTGCGTCTGTACCGTTGTGTTGTACTGTTGTATCCCAAAGTGCGAAGCAAGCGGTGGCGCGCAGCAGCTCACAGGAGACCAGGAGGAAGAGCGGCTTCTTCAACTACATCAAGTCTCGAACGTCTCGCTCTGAGAAAAATCAGGGTGTGGCGGCCATTACTCCTCCAACCTCTCCTTCTACTGCTGGTGCTGCAAATGCCAGCAGAGCTCAGGATACTGCAGTGCCCCCTGGTGACCAAGAGGACCAGCAGCCGTCCACAGTGACCACAGGGACCACAGAGGCTGGAGAGGGAGAGGAGCAGAGGGGTGAAGCTCCAACAGACCGAGACACAAACACTGAGAAGGGTGGAGTCAGAGCCCCGCCCCCTGAGGAGGTGGGTGGAGATACAGATACATCAAACAAGTGCAATTTGTTTCCTTCAGCAACAAATAAAGTTCTACTGTTGATTAGTTGTTGATTTGTTTCCTTTTATTTTCAAACATAATATTATTGCTTTATAGTTTATGTATCTATGGTAATAGTAAAGCATATCTGGTTCAGTCCAAAATGGCAAAAGCGCAACAGCAGCGCCAACTAGCGGCTGTTGTCACCTTTTTGAATAGAGCTGTTGGAAACAGGACTTTGACTCTTTTCCCCAGAGCTCGGATCCAGACCGACCTCAAGCCCTGAAGCCTGCCGCCCCCCCTGCCCTGTGCCACATGAGGATGCCTGTCCGGGGGATGGGGCTCATGGCCGAGATGAAAGCCAAACTGGCAGCTCAGAAGGTCAGTCTCAGTCTGTCCCAGGACAGGTGCGGCTACAGTCTGTTCTGCTGCCGTCCTTCAAATAAGTGAAATATTTTCCCAGTTTGAGACAAAGACTGAAGCCGAAGACCCTGGAGCTGATGTTTCAGCAGAGCCTGTGGGGTCCAGACCAGAACCAGCTCCAAGATCCAGAGACCGGACTTCCACTGGATCTACCAGCCCAACTAGCCCCACAGAACCAGGTTAGAAGCAGGACTGAACCAGTTTTGAACCAGGACTAAACCAGGACTAAACCAGGACTAAACCAGGACTAAACCAGGACTAAACCAGGACTAAACCAGGACCAAACCAGGACTAAACCAGGACCAAACCAGGTCTAAACCAGGTCTGAACATCTTTCTTTCCAGGGCAGTTCCCGGCTCCTCCACTTCCCGTTCCTCGCCTGAAGAGGGCGCTGTCGCAGCAGGACAGAGACCTCAGTGTGGACGGTGAGGATGAGCACATCCCCCACCCCTTCTGTCCAAATGTTCAGTTTCCACTGTGTCGACTTCTCAGACTATGACGTCACAGCTGTGTCGTCAGTCAGACGTTCAAGAGCCGGGAGTGTTGCTCATTCCAGTCGTCTCTTGCTGCATTTTTAGTGTTTCACTGAAAGCCTGTGTTTTCAGGTGAGTCTGCTTCTGACAGTGTTGTGATCGAGTCCATGGGAAACGAGAGCACTAAGAGCAGAGCCTGGTCCTCTCTGAAGCGAAACACCAGATCAGAACAACCAGAAGAGAAGCAGAGGGCCAAGTCTTTGCCCCACCACGGTATTGTGACCCCTACCAGACCAGACTTGGCCAAACCAGACTTGGCCAAACCAGACTTGGCCAAACCAGACTTGGCCAAACCAGACTTGGCCAAACCAGACTTGGCCAAACCAGACTTGGCAAAACCAGACTTGGCAAAACCAGACTTGGCAAAACCAGACTTGGCAAAACCAGACTTGGCAAAACCAGACTTGGCAAAACCAGACTTGGCAAAACCAGACTTGGCAAAACCAGACTTGGCAAAACCAGACTTGGCAAAACCAGACTTGGCAAAACCAGACTTGGCAAAACCAGACTTGGCCAAACCAGACTTGGCCAAACCAGACTTGGCCAAACCAGACTAGGCCAAACCACGACTGAACTAGGCCTGAACCAGGGCTGAACCTGTGGTTAGCACTCTTTATTCTTAGCAAGAAGGTCCTTTTCTAACCCAGTCAGAACAGGGCCTTTCTGAATATGGGTGCTCCAGTTCCCCCTACCACTAAAACTAAAACTAAAACAAAAGCAATGACTTTTGCTATACATTCCTCTTGCTCCTGCTTCAAGAGCCAAACTGAATTGTGTGTGTTATTTCCACAGTGAGGCCCGGTTCTCTGTGCTCTGATCCAGATGAGAGCGCCACCTCCAACACGGACGCAGAACATACTGAAGCAGGAGGCGGGAGCTAGGGACAAACGGACCAATCACAGACCAGAGGGGACATCACAGTCCATCAACTCCAAACCCATCCCCCATGTGGGGGGCCTTGTGGAGGGGAATGCACACTTTTATTGAAATACTTGATCATCTCCACATAATTTCAAAAGCAAAAAGACATTTCTGATCACAAAGAGGACGAGATTTTCCATGAACTTTGACCTCTGTGGAAACAAGGTGCGGTTTACAGCTGTGAGACTGAACCGAGGCTCAAAAATCACATTTCAAACTCAAATGCAAACGCAAATGTTTTTACAATTTCACAATCTCATGTTTTTAGTCACTACAACACTGATACTGGGTCAAACCTGGGCGAACCTGGTTTAGAGCAGTTTGGACCGGGTTAGATCTGTTTAGAACTGGTCTAGACCCGGCTCATGCTTATGAACAAAGATTTTTATATATATATATTTTTTTTTATCTCTGACTGAAGCTTTTGCATCTGTAAATTATATAAATCCTTATGTGGAGAATGTGATGAATCTGCTGTTGGGAAATAAACATTATTGGATTAAAGTTTCCTCTAAATACTTGAACTAACCCTCATTCACAAACATGCACCATTTTTAGACATTTTATTCAAAAACGACATTCACTTTGCTTCAAAATACTGTAAAAAAGCACTAACAAGAGAAAACATTATAAAAGTTTGGCAACATTCTCTGACGACGGCGGCAAAACACAATACATCCGTTTGACGGCTTCTCTTTGAGTCCAGCTCCTGTTCAAGTGCACACAACAGGTTCATCCATCTATCCATTTTCTTCCCCTTAATCCATTTCTACAGTGAGTCGGGAGGGTGGACCGGCCAGAGCTGCACCCAATTCACTAAGCACCAACCCCTCACTGATCCTCCTGCAGGTTCATGTTTGTGTCAAACCACTGGACTACTTAGCCCCGCCCCCTCTGTCCCAGTATCCGGCTCCGGTCCTGTGGTCACACATACTCTGTCCCCAAAACAGTATTCCGAACATCTGTTATATCCCAGTGCTAACAGCTATAAGCTATCAGTGAAACATACGTTTTTTTCAAATGTTCTCAAAACGTTCTGTTTGGGAATTACACCAGTTTAAAGTTTCACGCACTGGTTAACCTGGTTAAAAACTTGGTCATCAACTGAGCATGTGCGGCCGGACCATAGACTGTAGATAATGGACAGACCTGTCTATTCTCCTCAAACAAACTAATAGATCCATGATACAAAGTTATGGACTTCCAGTATGGTGCTGCCACTGGCCCCTCCCTTAGAAAAACTGAAAAAAAAAATTCATGCAATCAGCTCCCCTGCTGGAGACACCAAGCAGTGCACTTAGTGCAGTTATGACGTGGCTGGAACTATAATGAGCATCATTTGACCACCAGATCTGCATCGGAACAAAATGGAAGTTTTGTAAAACTAGAGCCGTGTTTGGGATTGGTAAAATTATCTCCCGTTCTACGTCATGGTGCTACGTCCCTTAGCGGACTTCGCTAGTGGGATATCACGTGACCCCCAGGTCACACGCCAGAGAGATCAAAATAACCCTCCTCTTTAAAGGCCCCTGCACAAGGCCGCACCCCCTCTTTCACTCTGGCGCCGATTGAGATCTTACCTTACTACATGGTACTTCATGTCAGAGATGTCTACCCCGACTGCACGTCCGAGTTCCCCTTCGCCCTCCGGTGTCGGACGTCGTCGGTGCTCCATCTGTCGGGTCAAGCTTCACCGCACGGATCAGCATGCCAGCTGCTTCACGTGCATGGGCTCGGGCCATGCGGCTGAGAGCGCTAGCTGCGCCTTGTGTCTCGCTCTCCCCAGGGAGGAGAGCGAACGCAGGCGAGCGTTCTACGCCGCTACGCCGCCGAATCTTGGACCCTTGGACGAAGGGTCCAAGATTGACTGGACCCCACTCGACCTTCCTCCTGTGCCCGCGGAATGGGGAGACTGCGAGGTTGGAGACTCGGAGGACGGCTCGCTCATCACCCTGGACGAGGTGGTTTCCAACCCGGAGCCGGACCGCTGCCCGCTGGACCACATGCCGGGTCTCTACTCGTCCGCGGCGGCCATCATGGGGGCCCCCCTGCCACCACAGCCAGACCAAGCGGTGGTGGACTTCACCTCCGTTGGCGCCGCACCTCGAGGGAGGAGGAGGAAGCAGCCCACACTGTGCCCGCGAATGGAGCCGATCCTCCATTACGCGACGCGTCAGTGGTCCAAACCTCTGGCAGCCAAGAGGCCTGCCTTGGGTTATGGGATGTACTGCAACGTGCAGGACTGGTCCTGGACCGGTGGCGTCCCGGAGATTGAGGACTGTCCGCATGGCCCTGCTCCTCCCCTCATCTGTGTGGCCCGGCACCAGACCTCTCCTTCCCTCCGAGCGGGATAGGATGTCTGTGGCGCTGCTGGATAGGTGTTACGCCAATGCGGCTCAGGTCGTCGCGTTGGCGAACAACATGGCGTTCCTCACGGGGGCGCTGGATAGATCGCTCTCCGCTGGCCAGTAACTCAGCGGGGACAGTCTTTCGGAGGCGAGGACCACCTCCGTCTTTCGGAGGCGAGGACCACCTCTCTCCTGGTGGAGAGGCTCGAGTCTGTGGCGAAGGATTTGGCGAGGCTAGCTCCGCACCTAGCTCCGAGGCGCGAGGCCCACCAGTCGTCTCGGAGCAGAGACAGAGGCAGAGAGCGCTCGCCCAGGAGGCGCTCCGAACCCTATCCTCGCTACGCCACTCACCGTCTCCCCTCGACGAGACCCCAGGCCCGGACAGACCCACGGGAGGCTCGCGGGAGCAATGTGCTCCCCGCCGGCCTCCCTATGGTAGAGGAGGCCGGGGTGGCAAGGATGTTTCAATAAAGGCCATCCGGCATTTCACCAGTACTCGTCGTCTGAGTCTCATTTGGGGGTACGTAACATTTTTAAGGATGTATCTGATTGTGCTACTTCCCAGGCACATAACGTGGCCTCGCTAGGCCTGCAGCCCCCAGAGCAGGGCGTGCAGTGCGCTACGCGGGCTACGAGCTCCGGTCCTCTGATCCATGCTATGCCCTCCCAGAGAGAGGTCAAGCGGAGAGTGTTGGTGAGTAGAGATGTGTGTACTTCAGCTAAACACGTGCTAGCCCCTCCTAGCTACAAGGCTAAGCACGGGGTTTCCCATTCCAGGCCCCCCATGAGGCAAGAGCCGGGGGGGGGGGCGGAGCGGCCGTGTCACAGGGTATGAACAGGCCCGGTCTTATGACGTCGGGCCTGCGGAACACGTGACCGCCCCCGACGCACACGACGTGACGCAGGAGGCCTCTCTGCCCTTTCGTTCACCCCTCCTCCCTGCTAGGAACACCAAGAGAGGGCGGGGCTGTGACGTCTCGTGTTCCAGTTCCCGTTCCGCCCCTCGTAGATTTCTACAACATCTGGAGGGAGCAGGGATTACTGTCAGACCCGTGGTTGGAGAAAACCATGCGCAGAGGCTACGCACTGCAATTCTCCCGGAAACCACCACCATTCCGAGGCGTACGGGCAGCACACTCTCAGGTACGGGGGTCATTAGTGGCACTGCAAGCGGAGGTCTCCTCTCTGCTGAGTCGAGGCGCAGCAGTGGAGGTAGACCCACAGGACGTCACCAGGGGGCTGTACTCCCCTTACTTCTTGGTGCCAAAGAAGTCAGGCGGGGTGCGTCCCATTTTGAATCTGCGCGTTCTGAACGAGTGCATTTCCAAGCGTCAGTTTCGGATGCTGTCCACAAAGCAGCTCCTACAGTGTATCAGGCAGGGAGACTGGATGTGCTCCATAGACCTGACGGACGCTTATTTTCACGTGGCGATAGTTCCGGAACACAGGAAGTTCCTACGATTCGCAGTGGGAGAAAGGAGCTACGAATACTGCCGTCTCCCATTCGGCTACACGCTCGCGCCTCGGACGTTCTCCAAGTGCGTGGAGGCAGCACTGGAGCCGCTCAGACGCGCGGGGGTAAGGATTTTAACCTATATAGACGATGGGTTAATACTGGCCTCCTCCAGAGAAGTGGCTGTGAGTCACACACACTGGGTCCTGTTCCACATACAGCGTCTGGGGTTTGTGGTGAACAGAGAGAAGAGCAGGCTGCAGCGCTTGATTCAGTGCCCGTCCTGGTACGCCTTAAGGGCCGCGGACGAGCCGCCCCTAGGGGTGGACGCCATGGCTCACTACCCGTGGCCAGGGGGCCTGCTGTATGCGTTCCCACCAGTTCGTCTCCTGCCGGTCCTGCTGCGGAGGATCGAGCAGGAGGGGGGATCGGTGATCTTGGTGGCTCCGGACAGCCCGCATGCCCGGTGGTTTCCCTTCTTGAGGGGCATGTCGGTGACGGAGCCTTGGGCCCTCCCGGAGGGCTTAGTCCAAGGGGGGGGGGCCTGTTCTCACGCCCGTTTATCGGTTCTGGGCTTGGAGGTTGAGAGGCAGAACCTCGTAGACCTGGGTCTTCCTCCGGCGGTGGTGGAGACTATTCAGGGGGCGAGGGCGCCATCCACGGTGAGAGCCTACGACACCAGATGGAGGCTCTTCAGCGTCTGGTGCAGTGCTCGTTCTTGGGATCCCAGGCACTGTCCTTTGGAGGGAGTCCTGGGCTTTCTACAGGAACTCTTTGAAAAAGGGAGGGCTGGCGGTGTTTGCGGCAGCCATCACCTCGGGTCACGGTGGCTTCGATGGGTTCACGGCCGTTCTCATCCTTTGGTGAAACGTTTTTTGCGGGGGGCGCGCAGGAAGAGGCCCCCGCTTCAGAGAACGCCCCCAGTGTGGGACCTCAAAGTGGTCCTTAGGGGTCTGTCGGGCCCGCCCTTTGAACCAGTGTCGGAGGCGAGTCCCGAGTGAGTTGCTTTTAAGACTGCCCTCTTGCTGGCGTTGACGTCTGCTAAGAGGGCGGGCGATTTGTGTGCGCTCTCCATACATGCGTCTTGTCTGTCCTTTGGAGAGGGGGACGGGCTGGTAGAGTTGTGGCCCGATCCGGCCTTTCTCCCTAAGGTCATTACTTCGGCCTTCAGGTCGAGAGTGATCAGGATTAGGGCTTTCCATCCGCCGCCGCACTCCTCCCCCGAGGAGGAGCGACGGCACCTGCTGTGCCCTGTCAGAATGCTTAGGCGTTACCTGACCTTGACATCTTCCTTCAGACTGGTGGATCAGCTGTTTGTGTGTCTGGGCCCCAAGAACAGAGGCGCCCCGCTGTCGTCTCAACGTCTGGCACACTGGGTCGCTTCGGCTGTACGGATGGCGTATCAAGCCAAGGGCCTGACGCCCCGGTGGGTTTTAGGGCGCACTCCACGCGTGGAGTGGCGGCTTCTACGGCCCTCCTCAGGGGGGCTTCGGTGGAGGACGTTTGCCGTGCAGCTTCGTCCTCTTCCTTTGTCCGGTCTTACCTGTTGGATGTGTCGGACCGGTTGGTGGCCCATTCCGTGCTTGGTGCAGCGGACTGATTGGAATCATGGGTTCTTCGTCTAAGAGATTACGGTTTGCCCTTCCGCCCTAGTTCAGGAGCTCTTGGGAGAGGCGTCCTGTAGGTGCGGTGTTAGGGGTGTTGGTCAGTTGGGTGGTCCACGTCAGGAGCTCTTGGGAGAGGCGTCCTGGGACTACGGGTGACTTTCGGTCGGTGTTACTTGGGGGTGTTACTTGGGGGTGTTACTTGGGAGGAGCGGCCCCGTAACACGCTTGGATTTGGTTTCTGTCCTGAGTCTTCTCACTGTGTGAGGGTTGCTCGGACGGGGCTCCAATCACTCTTCGCTGGCCTGCTGGGAGTACATGTTCCTACGGCCTCCGCGTTGTGTCCCACTAGCGAAGTCCGCTAAGGGACGTAGCACCATGACGTAGAATTAATAGTTACCTAATGTAACTTAAGTTCTACGAATAGGTGCGTAGTCCCTTAGCTACGAGCCCATCAGGCCAGCCCGGCTTGGCAGAGTTCAAGAGGGGGTGCGGCCTTGTGCAGGGGCCTTTATAGAGGAGGGTCGCTAGTGATTGGAGCAAATTATTTTGATCTCTCTGGCATGTGACCTGGGGGTCACGTGATATCCCACTAGCGAAGTCCACTAAGGGACTATGCACCTATTCGTATAACTTAAGTTACATTAGGTAACTATTAAAAATACCTTTAATATAGACACTCAGCAACAACACAATGTGGACCGATTGAGGGCAGAATATGGTCATGTGGATGTTACTGTCGTACGCACTTGAAACAGATAAACACCGCTTTTCATACACATTACAGTAGTCATGTTACAGTCAAACTCTGTAAAACATGATTGGCACAAGACTGCAGAAACCGCGAGTCTCCAGCAAACGTGACGGTCATGAAACACAACATTTAACAGACATAGTTAAGGCTAAAACACAGGCTACAAACAGCGTAAGGTTTGCCGCTAAAACTGGTTTGAAAGCAGTGAAAAGACATCTGTTCTGTTGTTACATTCAGTAGCTTCATCACAAATGCTAACGGTCAGGCTAAGCTATGCTAGGCTAAGCTACTCTATCACTGTTTTATCCAGCAAAATCAACTCAAACATAATTCAAGTAATGCTGTAAAAAAAATCCTTGGACTGGGTTTAAACTAGATTATAGTTGACTTTTATAAAACATGCCTATAATATTCACACATGTTTAGCCTAAGAATATAAGCTAAAAGCTAGCTTGGTGTTGTTTTAGCGATAATACATTTGGCACTGAGAGTTTGGTGGTGTTCACTATGGCACATTTTAAATAATCATTCATAAAATTACATCTTAAATTATTATCTTTTCACTTTTCCCATAAATGTAGTATTTACATGATTCTTTCAGAGCCACCCCTACACGATCCAAACATCGACAGAAGAGAGAAAACCCTGTTATAGAGGATTTTGACTTTCTGTTCTTACATATATTTATTGTTTTCTTAAGATCTTCTTCGGACACACCACAGCTGTGATTGTCTGAACCACGTGTTGGTTCTGTCCAGTGTGAAAGGGTGAAGTAAAATCCTCAGAAGTCAGATTGTGTGTAACGTCTGTGATGTCACATAATGTGAGACAAGATCATACAGCTGCAGTTAGAGCAGGTCTTCAGAGTGAGGCCTGGACCCCACCGGCTGCAAACGGACTATGACAACACACCAGACCGTCACAAGCGCACACACAGACTGACGTACAGAGACTCTCACAGACCCACACACAGACATACACGTGCACACAGACACCGCGCCCAAACCTGTGTGTGCTAACGGGGGCGAGGCCAGTGGAGTCCACGCCTCAGACTCAGACCTGGAAAGATCCTGTGTGACAGGAGATTACCCACTGAACTGAATGGAAGGAGGTGATGTTATAAAGGCCGTCACTCTACATAGTCTACACTATGGATTTTGATTGGTACTGAAGTCACTCTGCCGTCCTGGACCAAGTCCCGGGTCTCCAAGATGTCGGCCATTAAAATCATTGGCCTCTGCTTATTGGTGGATGCTCACACCTTCGAGACCAAAATAGAAGCAGAAATGACACGTTTTTGGTCATCTCTTGCCTCTTAGTCTTAGAGAAAGAGACCAGAGAGAGACAAGAGACAGAGACCAGACAGAAAGACAAGAGACGAGAGAGAAACCAAAAAAAAATCTCGGTCATGACCAGTGAGAGACCAGACAACCAATTGATTAAAAATATAAATAAAATACATGGGGAGTTTAGGCGACGCTGAAGTCTGTGGGGAAATCTCTGTATGTGGCTGAAGCTGCAGTATTATGGTCCACCACCAGGCTGAAGACAACAACACCCTCCAGATAATAAAACGCATGCTCTGGACCCTGTGGATGAGGATGACCTCCTTCACTGGATCCTGGGCGCAGAGCGATCGCTGACGTCCTTGTTCCTTTTCAGTTTGACGCCTCTTCGAATTGCGCACAGATAATCTCGTTCCTCCCGCGGGGACCTGGGTGCCCGCACTGCTCGCGCAAGAGGCTGTGGAGGTGGGCAAGGCGGGGTCTCAGCTGCCCTGGGAACAGTGGGGGTCTGGACCGGGATCACAGGGGGTCTCAGGAGGCCCGGGTTTAGGGACAAGCTCAAGTTCGCTCTGCGCAGTTTGGAGGAGGGCGCGCGGCGGATGGTGGCGACCCCTGGTGTCTGCGCGCTGGAAGCACACCTGGTATGTTGCAGACGCCAAAATGACAGAGACGGGTCCGGAGAGAGCGCGTCTGGTTCAGAACTGAGAGAGAAGCTTTCCCTGTCTGAGCCTGGGGACAAGAGACATGAGCAATTTTTAAAATTGTATATAGACCTTTTTAGGACACTCAAAGACGCTTCACAAGTCATTATTCATTCCCTCCATACACGGTGGTGATAAACTCATACTGTAGCCACAGCTGCCCTTTGGCACACAGACAAAAGTAAGGCAGCTAGTCCGTGCCATCGGCCCCTCCGACCACCGCCAACCATTGACACAGACATCAGACTCATTCTAGACAATGTGGGTTAAGTGTCTTGCCTAAGGACACAACAACAGTTTGGCACTTTACAGCCGCAGCCGCCCCACTTTGGCACATGGTGTTCTCAGAAGTCCCTCATCACAATATTAACCAGGCCCTGCCCTGCTTAACCTCATAGACCTGACAGGATCTGGCTTTCACATGCAGGTGGTGACAAGCTGACCTTTGCAACTGTCCTGTTTGATAAATAACATGTTGTTTATCACAAGTAAAATGTGAAAGACCACAACATGCTCCCTTCCTCCTATTAGATAACATGTTATCTTTTGTGTTAAAAAAGAGCCCTCTGGGTCACTATTTGACTCTTTGGGCTGATGGGCTGAGAGCTGATTGGCTTAGGGAGGGTGGTCCTCTCTCTTTCTCTTTTCTGTTTGAAAAAGCTGATCTAAAGATGTGACAGAGGCTACAAATAATAATAGATCAAATGTAATAGAGGTAATAATGTAGATAAAATAATGAATAAGTCCTGCTTCAGTCCTGCTTCAGTCCTGCTTCAGTCCTGCTTCAGTCCTGCTTCAGTCCTGCTTCAGTCCTGCTTCAGTCCTGCTTCAGTCCTGCTTCAGTCCTGCTTCAGTCCTGCTTCAGTCCTGCTTCAGTCCTGCTTCAGTCCTGGCTCTGTACCTGGTTCTGTACCTGGTTCTGTACCTGGTGTGTAGAGATCTAGTTTCAGTCCTCGGTCCAGAGCCTGCACCAGCTCCGCCCCCACAGTGAGGTCATCGCCCTGGTGGCTGATGGGAACTGTAGTGTGGCTCCTCTTCATCGCAGACTGAAGACAGAATGTTCACTTAGACTGTCACGTTTATGATAAACACACATTATAAAATAAGAGATGACCAAATTGAGCCAAACTCAGTGCAAAAAGTTCATGTTGCTTTTATAGATGTCATCAGTTACATAGCACCAAGTCAGACTTATGACCTGTATGTGTAGAGAGGGAGGGAGACAGAGCAGAGAGAGACCAGAGAGAGCGTACTCTGAACTCATCACCAATGTGCCTCCCCATACCCCAAGTGGTATTGTGTGTGTGTGTGTGTATGTGTGTGCACGTGTGTGTGCATGCTGCTCTCACCAGACCACTGACACTAGGGCTTCTGGAGTTGTGGGAGTTGAACCCGGAGTCATGAGAGGAGACGGAGGAGAGCCGTAGAGAGCCGGACTGAACTGGACCAGACCCGGATCCAGACCCGGACCTGAACCTGAAGTGTGGGGAGCCAGAGGAACGCGAGTCGCCGCTGCTCACGCTGTTTACCGAGCTGAAAACACACAACATACTAATACGTTGGCAACTGTAGTGGCCATTTAGAGCGAAGGGGTTTGTCATGAGGTTTTTTTCAGGTTCTGAGGCACCAGCCTCAGTCCTGGATCTACAGCCGCAGTCCTGAATCTACAGCCTCAGTCCTGGGTCTACAGCCTCAGTCCTAGATCTACAGCCGCAGTCCTGGATCTACAGCCTCAGTCCTGGATCTACAGCCGCAGTCCTGGATCTACAGCCGCAGTCCTGGATCTACAGCCTCAGTCCTGGATCTACAGCCTCAGTCCTGGAGCCCCGTTTAGATGGTGACACTGCGACAGTAAAACGTTGGGTATTGGTTTGGCCTCCGGTTTACATGGAGACGATGTTTCAGGGGGGTGAAAACGCAAGCGTTGAGAAACAGCCTACAGAGCGGAACAGAACAGATACACTGCTCGGCGGGGGACTCGTTCACAGCTGCGGTGTGAATTCTCTGCCTGCCATAACCTCCTTGCACGTACTGTACATTTGGACATGCGCAGTAGCCAAGAACAAACGTAAACACTAACTAGCTTGTGTGCTTCGAGCGCTACACAGAGGAAAACTCTACTCCTTCGTCCGTCCAAACCAAACCACGCAAAGCTATAGTTCCAGTTTACATTTTCGCAGCTGCTATTAAATGCAGAATGTTGTTGGTGCATTCTTTTTTGCCTTTGCAGTGGCTTGAGGAGGATGTTGCAGAGGAAGTGAAAATATGCTCACAACAGTTGCACGGCTATAGTCCTCCCCTGCGCTCAGAAGTATATTCATTCGGTATTCTCAAAGCAGTCCCTCAGAGCATCACTGGCCTCTGTTGTCCATTGCCTGAATGATCTACCGACTATATGGGCATTCTCATCACATTTGTCCTTAACATAAATCAGAGCACAATATCATCAGAGATGTTAGGACTTGCACATTTTGATTGGAATGTGCTGGACATCCCCATGGACCAACGGTTCCAATGTTTTTGGTATAATTGCATTTCCTGTGTCCAATCTGTTTGATTCTCTTTGTCTTCTGCTGTTATTTACGGCAATACACTGTAGGAGAATGAAAATGACCTCTTCCTTAACAAAGACATTTGTTTTATATTGAGACATTTAATCACTTCCTTAATCAGACCTTCCTTATAGGTTCAAACCTTTGAATAAGAATATAAATAATATAATTAATAGTTACCTATGTAACTTAAGTTCTACAAATAGGTGCGTAGTCCCTTAGCGGACTTCGCTAGTGGGATATCACGTGACCCCCAGGTCACAGACGCAAGGGAGATCAAACAAAAAATGCTCCAATCACTAGCGACCCTCCTCTATAAAAGCCCCTGCTGGCCTGATGGGCTGGCCTGATGGGCTCGTAGCTAAGGGACTACGCACCTATTCGTAGAACTTAAGTTACATAGGTAACTATTAATTCTACGTCATGGTGCTACGTCCCTTAGCGGACTTTGCTAGTGGGACACAACGCGGAGGCCGTAGGAACATGTACTCCCAGCAGGCCAGCAAAGAGTGATTGGAGCTCCGCCCGAGCAAGACCCTCACACAGTGAGAGGACTCAGGGCAGAAGAAGCAATTGCGTGTTGCAGGGCCGCTCCTCCCAACGACACCCCCAAGTAACACAGACCGAAGGCCACCCGTAGTCCCAGGACGCCTCTCCCAAGAGCTCCTGACGTGGACTACCTGACTGACCAAAAGCACACACATACCGCACCTGCAGGACGCCTCTCCCAAGAGCTCCTGATCCAGGGCGGAAAGTCAACCGTAGGCCCCCTAAGAGGAGGAACCTCACGGTTTCAACTCAATCCGCTGCACTAAGCACGGAATGGGCCACCGACCGGTCCGACACATCCAAAAGGTAAGACCGGACGAAAGAAGAGGACGACGCCCAAGAAGCCGCACGGCACACGTCCTCGACCAAAGACCCCCTGAGGGGGGCCGTAGAGGCCGCCACCCCACGCGTGGAGTGCGACCTGAAACCCACCAGGGGGGCCGGGCCCTGAGCCTGATACGCCCGCCGCACAGCCGTGGAGACCCAGTGCGCCAGCCGCTGAGACGACAGCGGGGCGCCCCTGTTCTTGGGGCCCAGACACACAAACAGCTGATCAACCAACCTGAATGAAGATGTCATGGCCAGGTAATGCCTAAGCATTCTGACAGAACACAGAAGGTGCCGCCGCTCCTCCTCGGGGGAGGCATGCGGCGGCGGATGAAAAGCCCTAATCCTGATCACTCTCGACCTGAAGGCCGAAGTGATGACCTTAGGGAGAAAAGCCGGATTGGGCCACAACTCCACCAGACCGTCACCCTCTCCAAAGGACAGGCAAGACGCATGGACGGAGAGCGCACACAAGTCGCCCGCCCTCTTAGCAGACGCCAACGCCAGCAAGAGGGCAGTCTTAAAAGCAACACACTCGGGACTCCGCCACGGTTCAAAAGGCGGGCCCGACAGACCCCTAAGGACCACCCTGAGGTCCCAAACCGGGGGCGTTCTCTGAAGCGGGGGCCTCCTCCTGCGGGCCCCCCGCAGAAAACGTTTGACCAACGGATGAGAGCGGGTTGTGAACCCCCCGAAACCGTCGTGACCCGAGGTAATGGCTGCCGCGAACACCGCCAGGGTGGCGACAGCCCTCCCTTTGTCAAATAGTTCCTGCAGGAATCCCAGGACTCCTTCCAACGGGCAACGCCTGGGATCCCAGGAGCGAGAACCACACCAATCGCTGAAGAGCCTCCATCTTGTAGCGTAGGCCCTCACAGTGGACGGCGCCCTCGCTCCCTGAATAGTCTCCACCACCGCCGGGGGAAGACCCAGGTCTACGAGATTCCGCCTCTCAGCCTCCAAACCCAAAGCCTGCGGCCGATTATCGGGCGTGAAAACAGGTGGAGCCACCAGGATCACCGACCTCCCCTCCTGCTCGATCCTCCGCAGCAGGACCGGCAGGAGACGAACTGTCGGAAACGCATACAGCAGGCCCTCTGGCCAGGGGTAGTGAGCCAGGGCGTCCACGCCTAAGGGCGGTTCATCCGCGGCCCTTAAGGCGAACCAGGACGGGCACTGTGCGTTCTCTGCACTGGCGAAAAGGTCGACCACTGGACGACCGAATCTCCGCCAGACCTCCGCAGCTATCCGTGGGGTCAGACCCCACTCGTCCTGGAGTGGGCCCCCCCTGGACATCCTGTCGGCCCCCACGCTCCGGGCACCCGGGACGTGGCGCGCCCTCAGGGACAGGAGGTGAAGCGGCGCCCACAGCAGCGTCACCGTCGCCATGCGATGGAGAGCGGGGAACCTGGTGCCCCCCTGCCTGTTCAGATAAGACACCACCGTAGTGTTGTCTGAGCGAACCATCACGTGTCTCCCCTGCAGCTGAGGAGCCAAGTGCAGCAGTACCCTGTGCACTGCCTCCATCTCCAGAAGGTTGATGTGGCGGGCTGAGTCCGACCAGCAGCCTCCTACAGAGCTCTGACCGAGGACCCCGCCCCAACCCTCGAGTGACGCGTCCGTGAACATCTCCACGTGAGACACGGCGCAGGCCAGAGTCACTCCGTCCCGCAATAGACCCGGAGTGAGCCAGAACCTGATGTCCGACGCTGCAATTTAGGGAACCCAGATCAGCCTCCCCCCGTCCCGGGAGGGGTGAAGCCTGAGTCGTGAGAACCATCTCTGAAAGTTCCTCATGTGGAGAAGGCCTAGCCGCACCACAGCATGAGCCGCCGCCATCATCCCCAGCAGGGACCTGAGGCGCCGAGCGGGGACCCTGGGGCCAGCCAGTACCTCCCTGGCTAGACGGGTAATCTTCCTCCGTCTGTCCTCGGACAATGCAGCACGGAACGTCACAGAGTCTAGCTGCAGGCCGAGATAGATCATGCGTTGAGCCGGTTGCAGCCTGCTCTTCTCCCTGTTCACCACAAAGCCCAGACGCTGTATGTGGGAAAGGACCCAGTGTGTGTGACTCACTTCCCTGGACGAGGCCAGTATTAACCAATCGTCTATATAGGTTAATATCCTTACCCCCACGCGTCTGAACGGCTCCAGTGCCGCCTCCACGCACTTTGAGAAGGTCCGAGGCGCGAGCGCGTAGCCGAAGGGGAGACATCCAGTCTCCCTGCCTGACACACTCGAGGAGCTGCTTTGTGGACAGCATCAGAAACTGACGCTTGGAAATGCACTCGTTCAATGTGCGCAGATCCAGAATGGGACGCACCCCTCCTGACTTCTTTGGCACTAAGAAGTAAGGGGAGTAGAGCCCCCTGGTGGCGTCCTGTGGCGCTACCTCTACTGCTGCGCCTAGACTTAGCAGAGAGGAGATCTCCGCTTGTAGTGCCACTAACGATCCCCGTACCTGAGAGCGTGCTGCCCGCACGCCCCGGAACGGCGGTGGCTTTTGGGAGAATTGCAGTGCGTAGCCCCTGCGCAAGGTCTTCTCTAGCCACGGATCTGACAGTAAGCCCTGCTCCCTCCAGATGCTGTAGAAGTCTGTGAAGGGCGGAACGGGAGCTGGAACACGAGGCGTCACAACCCCGCCCTCTCCTGGTGTTCCTAGCAGGGAGGGGGGGGTGGACGAAAGGGCAGGGGGGCCCCTGCGTCAAACCGTGTGCGCCGGGGGCGGTCACGTGTCCTGCAGGCCCGACGTCATAAGTACGGGCCTGCTCATGCCATGTGACTCGACTGCTCCGCCCCCCCCTGGCTCTTGCCTCATGGAGGGGGGGGCGAGCCCCTGGAGTGGGAGACCCCGTGCTTAGCCTCGTAGCTTAGAGGGGCTAACACGTGTTCGGCCGAAGCACACACACCACAACTCACCAGATCCCTCCGCCTGACTTCTCTCTGGGAGGGCATAGCATGGATCAGAAGACCGTAGCTCGTAGCTCGTAGCTCGCGTAGCGCACTGCACACCCTGCTCTGGGGGCTGCAGGCCTAGCGGAGCAACGTTATGTGCCCGGGAAGTAACACAATCAGAATTCACATTAGACATGTTACGTACCCCCA